GGGGGGGGGGGGCGGGGGAGGCAGAAGGAGAGGGAGAGCAGGAATCCCAAGCAGGCTCCTCACTCAGCACAGAGCCCAATGTGGGCTGATCTCATGATCCTGAGATCACAGCCTGAGCCGAAACCAAGAGTCAGACACTTAACCAACTGTGCCATCCAGGTGCCCCGTCTCTCTTGTTTTTGATGCAGCTGTTATTCTAGAAATTCAAGCTGGGAATTATCATAGCTGACTTAGTTTCATCAGGTAGCTAAGCATGATGTCAGCGAAGAAACACATACCTGAGGAAACATCTCTCTGACGACACCTGCCACCACTCTCCATCTACCACCACCAAGCGCTCACGATCCTAGATTTGTACACCCAACATCATGAGGTCCCTTGCTGTGCTAAACGCAATCTTGCCACAGGAACCTTGCTTTCTAGAGCTGTCATCACCAACCAGGGCTTTCATCAAGCTGCACACTGTAGCCACCTGCATCCCTAAGTCCTGCTGCCATTACTGCCCTAGAAATTCTGCTGACTCAAAAGGACTTTGCATGGGCCTTCTCTAGGGGTATCAAAGTCTACCACCATCTTCAGCCTTGGGAGTTTTGAAATTTGGCAATTCCATGACCCGACCATGATCAGATTGCTGAACATAGAGCATGAAGATTAAGGAAAAGTCCGTGGAGAGAGAAGAGACAGCATAAACATTTTATTACAGCTACCATTACCTCAAGTAGAGTACTCTAGATTGGATGATGAATCGAAACAAGTACTTTAGGGCTTTCAAAGCAGCAAAAAGCAATTCTGTCTTGCTGGAGTCATCTGCATTAGCCACATAGAAGTTCAGTACCTTGGAGAGTTTCCTTAAAAGGGTGAGAAAGAAAATTGTCAGTGGGGCAAAGTGGTAGGGTATGTTCTGTAAGAAGGGAACTTGGCATACCAGGGAAGCAGAAATCACAACTATAATTACCCCTTCTAGAATATGCCTTGAGCAGGAAAATTAACTCCTTTGCAGTTGGGCTTCCTCACTGCCGTAGTCTAGGTTTGAGCAGGAAAATTAACTCCTTTGCAGTTGGGTTTTCCTCACTGCTGCAGTCTAGGTTTGGAGCTTCCCTAATGCTTAGAAATAAGGCGTGGTTTCTTTACTTTAGCAGGATTTTTAAAAAGGATCAAAAATGAAAGCTGAAGGGATTCAAACCATGAAGGCATCTAAATCTCTAGTAGGTTACACACACACCCTCAGACGTTCCTGTAAGGAAGGGACTGTCTGCTTAATGTAGTCACCTTAAAAGAAGTCTAATTCCCTCCAGTCTGCCTAAACTCTTTGGGATCCACACAATGGTGAGGATGGGAAGAGAAGCTCAATCTGACAAAAACAACCATGGTTTCTGAGCATCCCAACAGATAACACTGGGCTGGGATGTCAGATTGCTCTCTGTGCCTTTCCAGAGTCTAGGCATTTTCTTAATCGTTTGCTAACTTACACTTCTGGGAGCGCTCGTAACTTGACCTTTCTTTCTGTAAATCTCTGAGTTTCCACAGTATTAAGTAATATCCACAGCACACATGTTGAACAGCTAAAGTCTTGTAAAGAAACCCAAATTACTACTTTCCGGAGTGTTGCATTTGGCTCTGTGGAATGAAGATCCAGCAATAGGAGTTCCTCACTTGAAGCTACCACCTGCTTGGAAAGTGAGGCTACTGGATGCAAAGAAACCTGTCATGAGCCTATCCGCTGCTTCTCCCAATCCAGCGGGCTTCATGTCCATCGTGTTCGTTGGTGATTATGCTACATGACACCTCTTTTCTGTCACTTACATTTTATAACATTGCTGGATCTCCCATGCACATAAAACCAAGAGCTTTCTTGTTTGGCTCAGAAAGGACATAAGGGAATCTCTAATCTGACCTGAAAAATCAGGTCGGCACCCAACCTGAGAGATCAGCAAATCAGCTAGCATGACCTGGCCTAAGCTGTTGTCAGAAAGACCTCTGCCGATCTCAACTACATTCCTGTCACTCTTTATCACATTGCTCTGCACAGTAGCAGGAATGCACAGGGGTGGGGGAGACAGGCTACATAGTATGCCACAGTGAGGTGGGCTGAAGTTAGTTGCTTTCCCGAGTCAGAGGCTCATAAACCAAAGACAGAAAGGAGACTGCACTATGGAAAAGGCAGAGACCATTCTCCCTTATATAAAAGAAAGAAAAATTACATCATCTCATATCCTGTAAGTAATAAAGTCTACAAAGCACTTGTGGTATAGGGCTGAGGACATGACCCTCAGTTCTACCAGACTTAGTCTTCCTGACACCCAACTCTCCTAAGATCCCGAGTATGATCTTCCATCCTTGACTGTGTTCCCTTCAACTCCTCATCTCTCTGTGTTCTGGATTCTTAAAGACATACAGCCTTATCTCTTCAGGAGCTTTCCAGAAGGCAGGGATTGCCTTTAATGCCTTTCCCAGGGGTGGAACACTTAGCTGGTTCTCTCTTGCCACTGGAAGCTTACAACAAGCTTCCGCACTTAGGGGCACACTTACTCAGCTTATGTCCCTTGCATTTCTTAACAACCCAACCCTAAGAGTACAAACCCAACACCCCAGCAGCAGGTAGTCCCCTTGAGTCATACTTACACGTATGCCAGAGTGGCACTGAAGTGCTTATAGATGTAGGTTTCGAGGACAGGATTAAAATGCTGGAACTTGATGTCTCCTATCAGTGAGATAATAAATACCTGCCAAAGGTGAAAAATACAGATAGCAGCACTGTGCGACCCCAGGCGTTCATTATGTCAACAAGCTGGATGCTAGCATCCTGGTGCCTTCTTTTCTTTCTCGACCATTTTTGCAGCATTCCCACTTCACTATTCCAGAGCTGAAGTAAAGTCTTGGAGTTTCTCTTATTTAACGCCAATAGAGAAACTATGTGTCAGGCACTGGGCTAAATGCTATGGAGAATCTAGTAAGAGCCGGCCCCTGGCCTCAGGGAGCTCACTGTCTCAAAGAGAGGCCAGTGCGCAAGCAAGATGAGTCAGGGAGGAAGATGGGGAGAGGCAGGAGAAAGATACAGAAGGGGTCTCCTGTGGGAAAAAGAAACTCTAACCCAAGGATGCAGTTAATGAATTATTTCGTGACCTTGTTCTCCTGAGTGCAGCATGAGTGCCCCCAATAATTGAACTTCATCAGACTTTTGCCTCTCAATTTCCCCTTCTTCTGTGAATGGCATCCCTATCAGGCACATAATCTACCAACCACCACACTGCACCTACTGCTGACAGAAGAATGTAGGAGAAGGGCCCCAGGGATGCCTGCATAGACCCAATGCCAGTTGCTCTGTCCACAGAGCCCAGACCTGTTCTTCCCCATGAATCTGGCCAAGTGCAATCTTAGCTGGAGGATTTCCTCTCTTTATCTTATATCCTTAATGCCCTGACCACTTCCTGAATGTATCAATTTCTCCAAGCTGGTAAAACAGCTAACATTCCTTTGCTGCAACATCCAGGTAAATTCTGCACAGAATTTTAACCCCAACAACGAGAAAACGTTCTTGGTTTGGATGTGTCAGCTTCCTCCACTCACTCCACCACAATTTGTAGCCTTTCAAAGTTTTTTTTTATTTTTTTTTAAGATTTTTATTTATTTATTTGACAGAGACACAGCAAGAGAGGGAACACAAGCAGGGGAGCGGCAGAGGGAGAGGGAGAAGCAGGCTCCCCGCTGAGCAGGAAGCCTGACATGGGGCTCAATCCCAGCACCCTGGGATCATGACCTGAGCTGAAGGTAGAAACCGACTAAGCCACCCAGGTGCCCCACCTTCCAAGATTCTAACATCATCTCTCCTTGTCTGGATCTCAGTTTTTGGAGTGGGCTGTGTGATTTGTACAGAATGAGACTGATGTTCGTTTCTGATGTGGGAATTCAGTCTCCCTTTTATGAACACACAAGCACACACAACAGAGCCACAGTGACCTTTGTTAAACGTATCTCCTGGTTTATAACTAGGCAATTTTAAAGTAAGTTAAAGTGATTCTTGATTTCTAATGTGATACAATACCTCGTTTACCCTAATGAGAAAGAAAGCATATCAGTAAGTAAGATCTAACAGGTAACAGAAAAATAAAGTCTTTGAACACTGAGTCAGTTGTTTCCAATTTAACCTCTAGAAACAGAGAGATGTATGCAAGTGTTTATGCAGGAGGACATTCGTCGCAGTCAGTTATAATAGCAAAATACTAAACACTACACTGTTGTGAGAATAAACTAGTTAATGTGTTTAACTGCTTACCAGTGCATCAAACACAAGGAAGTCATAGGTTTCATTGTCTGACATTTCCATCATTATGTTAAATAGTGCATCTAGTGTATCTTGCAAAAACTGAAGATAAAAAAAAAAGAGAGAGAGGTTATTTCATGCTTTCAGTTCAGCTCCATACTGTAAAAATTCAGAGAAATTAGGTTACAGTAGAATGAGTTTAAAAATAGCATTTCTTAAAAATTGACACTTGGGCTTTCCAGTGTAGATAACAAGTTTTATATTTCTGACCACTGATTTAATTTGAAATGTTGAACTAATGATACAATGACTGTGTTTCTAACCACAAATACATAAACAAACCTTAACAATCTCGCCTCCATCCACTTCCATTAACTTCTTTAAGTTGTGTTTAATGTTCTGGGAGTTCGAACGCCAATTTAACAGGCCCAACAGGTCAACTAAGAAGAACGACCACAAAGCATAAAATTAGACACTGATTGAAAGAAGTAATGCACACTATTTCAGGATACAACTATAGAACTCTCTAGAAAAGATAACTGCTCTTAATAGTGGCTAATTCCTTATGTATTTCTTTTTTTTTAATTTACTCTCTCCTATCTAAACCAGAAAAAACCTTGTAGTCTTTCAGTCTTCAGAGAAAAAAATTAACCACTAATATATGAGAACATAAAATTGAATTCCTGAATGGAATTCATATTTCTGAAATAATGACATCATAGCCATATAGATGAAAAGTTGGAAGCACTTTTTTTTAAGATTTTATTTATTAGAGAGAGAGAGAGCAAGTGGACATGAGCGGGGGTTGGGGGAGGTTGGGGCAGAGAGAGAAGGAGAAGCAGACTCTGCACTCTGCCTGACTCAGGGCTCGATCCCACAACTCTGAGATCATGACCTGAGCCAAAATCAAGAATCAGATGCTTAACCAACTGAGCCATCCAGGCATCCTGAAGACACTCTTAAGTAAACTTCATACCTTCAATTTGCTGCATTGCTTAATTCGTCCTTTATCACTATGTGTATCTCAGTGGATACAAAGGGAAAAGGGAACTTATATATATATATATATGCACTGATGCATTTATTCTTTTTAAGATTTTTTCATTTATTTTAAAGAGAGAGAGAGAGCAGGAGCAGAGGGAAAGGGAGAGAGAGTCTCAAGCTGACTCTGCGCAAGGCACAGAGCCTGATGTGGGGCTCGATCTCGACCCTGAGAACACGACCTAAGCCGAAACCAAGAGTTGGACACTTAACCAACTGAGCCACCCAGGTGCCCCACACTAATCCATTTAAACACTGCATCCACATTGTAGAGATTTCATTTTTTTCCATTTTTGAGTTGAGGAAACTGAGACCTTATGAAATTAAATAACTTGCCTTAGGTCACACAATGGCCAGGAGCATTATGAATGGAATTTAATTTAATCCCAAAAAACCATGTCCGTACTACTCTATCATACTGCCTTCCCAGGGTTCTTCAAAGAAACAGACAAGCAAATTAGATAGATTGCTATTTCAAAGGAAGGCAGAACAGGTTCATGGTCCTTAGGGCAAGACTGGGGCAGAAATCTTGAGGTGTATTTGGACTTAAAGTGTAGAATTATGGATCTTTAAGCCATTTATAGCTTTAACCAATGTTGAAAGTGTCACAGGGAACTAGAACAGGCATCTGGACTGTTACTATTTTATCATTTTGTTTAGTACATTAAGCTACTATTCCCATTTACAGAGCATTAGCCAGTATAAGTAGCAACACATGCTTTTTAATCAATGGACTTGTATAATATACAGAAGTTGTTAAAAACATATACTGTTCATTAGAATAGTCAATTTGCTTCATGAGTGTTTCTTTTATTAGTTTACCTATGGTTTAGTCCCTGGGAAACCTCCAAAACCCAGCACCTAGAGACTCCCCACTCTGAAGAGAAGAAAGTCCCATACCACTCACAGAAGGTGGTGAGGCCCCACCCATGGCCTTTCTGCCAGGGCATCATCCACCATTCTGTTACCCCTCAGCAGCCAGACAGATCAACTCACTACTCCCCAGACTATGGCATGCTCTGCTAGATCCATGTCTTTGCATATATTCTTCTCTTTGTCTCAAATGCCCAGAAATATTTTAATACTATGTATTTGGTAAGCTCATACTTATGTTTAAGACCCACCTCAAACTGTATTCCCTCTGGGGAGACTGACCCAATCATTCTGTGCTATTGTACTCTTTCCTACATATACGTACACAAAGACAAACATAACGAATGGTAAAGACACACTTGGTATCTCTTTGGCTCAGCCCATAGACCTGAGCCACTTGAGGGCAGGAACCATACTGCATTCATTGTTTTATGCCATCATGGTGCCAGGCGCCTCATAGGTGTTCAATAGGTGTTTGCTACAAGAATGAGTGAATGGGTGGAAAAGGAACCGGTGGCCTGCTCATCACAGTTCTTGGATTTACTCGTTTGTTCAGGGAGCATTTGGTAAGAGACACTGTGCTGGGCTTGTCCACTTCCCCCTTCCCATCTCCTACTCCGGCTGGAGGCTAGTCAATGGTAAGGGTCCGTTTGTTACTTCACCCCACCAGTTCCTGCCTGAGGAAAAAGGATTTAGATACTTCACCGGGGAGTCACCCGGCAGCTTTAAGAGTCTGCGAACAACCCTTCTATCAGCCCAGAGGTTTACGCCCTAGAAATATCTGCATGCCACATCACTGCCCATGTCAGGAATAGAGTTGGCATCTGGTGAATCAGAGGTCCTGGGGCTAGAAAAGTGGCAGCCCCATGTTAGAGCAAAGTCCCCAGACTTCCGGCGCTCTTTCATGCAGGTTGAGGCATATAGCTCTAGTTAATTCCTGTCAGTTGCTACACAGTATCTCTCCTATTGTGCAGATGTACAACCATGTGTTTGTCCATTCCACTGCTGATAAACCTTTGAGTTGTCTGCAGTTTTTTCTATTTATCACAAACAATTCTGCCATGAACATTCTCCTGCATCTTCTGGTTTCCAGGTACAGCAGCTTCTCTGGGCCATAAAACTAGAATGGAATTTCCAGATCATCAGAAATAACCATCCCAATGTTATCCAAGGTTCTCTCAATTTACGTCCCTCCCCAAAATATTTAAGAATTCAGGGTACTCTGAATGACAATCCCCAAATTTAGGCTAGTGACTACTTTAGAGAAAGGATTAGAGACCATAACACTTAAAAAGGAAAAGAAAAACCATACGTTTTGGTGTTGCAAATATCTATTTTCAGACCCATGTCCACTACTTATGAACCTAGGGAAAATTTTGGCACCTTAACTTTCTTTTTTTTTTTTTTAAAGATTTTATTTATTTGACAGAGAGAGACACAGCAAGAGAGGGAGCAAAAGTAGGGGAAGCGGGAGAGGGAGAAGCAGGCTCCCTGCAGAGAAGGGAGCCCAACGTGGGGTCCAATCCCAGGACCCTGTGATCATGACCTGAGCCGAAGGCAGACGCTTAGTGACTGAGCCACCCAGGTGCTCCTTAACTCAACTTTCTGATCAGTGAACAGAATGGTGATGCTGGTGTCTTCGTGCGCTAGGGTGTTGGAGGGTAAAATAAGACGATGCTGGAAACTGTCCCACACCTACAAGGACCTGAACTCCCCTCTCCCTTTGTTGGAGCCACAAATCTATTCTCACCCTCTATACAGGCCCAGCAACAAATGATCCATATAAACTGGGTCTGATCTAGTTTTGAAAAAATTTATAAATGAAGAGTCTACAAGCTCTGTCTGTAACACAGGCCAGTGGCTTTTCACCTTTAGAGTCTGAATAGTTCTTTGTGAAGCTAAGGAGAAATGCCCTTGGTCATGGTCTCTGTGAAAGAACAGCTACCCTCTTTATCAGGAAGGGCCCTCTTGGAGTGGAGGGTTTCTTACTGTTCTTCAGCTTCCTCTTTCTCAGAATACATTAAACTGGTTCCTTAGAACTTCCATCGAATTAGAAGAAAGAGAATACATGAACCACCTGCAACCCTTATTATCATTACTTGGCCCTCGGAAGGCCCTGTGTCCCTCTGATGCTTGGGGTGTCCTACGGTTCTCTTCACTCTTCTCACATCTGTTCTCCCTCCCAGCCCCACCTCAGGCCATGAGGACAGCACATCACTCCTCCCTGGTTTGGGTGAATCTGCCTCTTTCAACCTTCTTTGGGATATGTTATTATGTAAGACTTTCATTCGGTTTGGTATGTTGAGTTTTTTGAGACCTAAACGTTAGGAATGGGGAGGACAACAAAGCCAGGGCAGTTCCATCAGATGGAACTTTCTGGGATGATGGCAATGTTGTGGGTCCGCTGGCCAACACGAAAGCCTCCAGAAGCACAAAACCATGGAATACCTGAAACGAGACTAGTGCAACCGTACTTTCCTCTATGCTAACTAAATTTCGCAAGCTCCACGTGCCTGGTGGCCGCCACAGGGGGACAGCGCGCCTTTAGAACACCTAGAAGATGAGCGAGGCAGATGTCAGCAAATCAAGCATCTGAGCCGGGTACTGGCACCTGTCCATACGCTTCCTGTATTTTTGACTGGGGATAATAAACAAGTGAACCATATGGTTCTCTCTCATGGAAATTCCTTCTGCTTTTCATTTTAAGTTAATTTTAGCTACTTTGATCACTTGCTTTACTTGAAGGTCTAATCTCTGGAAAGGATAATCTATTCGATAAATGCCATCTCTCTTGACTATCCCTTAATAGTCCTAAAAGTACATTAATGCTTTGTATTGTCTGCTGCCACACTTACAAAAATACCATTTTAACATTTCATAGTTAAAAGTTTGGAAAATAGCAGAAAGAGCACAGAAAATAAACTACTCTTCCAACTTCGGGAGTCTTTCCTTTTAGTCTTTTTCTGTGTACATATGATGATGGTGATGGTGGTGGTGGTGGCTAATATTCACACAGGGTTTACAATGCGCGAGACACTTGTTTCGCTTTTACTTATTTTACTTCATTCTCTGAAATATACACTAGTATCATTCCCATTTTAAAGATGAGGACACCAAGTCACAAAGAGGTCATGTGGCTTGCCCGAGAGGAAACAGCTAGTGGCAGAGTTGGGACTTGAACCCAGGCGATTGGCTCCAAATCGTCAACATGTATCTAAACAAAACTAGGATTATACCCTGGCTAATGCAAAGTTTTCACATGTCTTTGACTACATTTTGAAATATATTTGGTAGCTGCACATGTGTCATTTAATTACATGATAATGCCCCCAATTATTGGACATTTGGATTGTTTCTGCTATTCCCCTATTATGAGTAATACGGAGACATCTTCATACATGAATCTTTGTGCTCATCTTTCATTGTTTACTTAGGTTTAATTTCCAGGGATGAGACGACTGGCTCAAAGGATCTGAATACATTCAAAACCTTTGATACACCTTCTAAATCATCTTCCATCAATACTGTACCATTTAACCTGGTACCAGCAGTTTATCACATTTGCTTTTTCCCTAAGAAGGATTAGGTCACTGATACAGTTTTGTCATGTCTTCTATGAAGCTCAGAATATTTTCTGGCTTAATTTTTGTTTTCCTCTTAATAGACTTTATTTTTCTGAGAGCAGTTTTAGGTTTACTGAAAAATTAAGCACAAAGTACAGAGAGTTCCCATATACTCCTAGTGCTCCCCAGCCTCCCCCTACTATTAGTATCTTACATTAGTGTGGTACATCTGTTATAAGTAATGATCTAATATTATACCATTCATGAACTAAAGTCCACAGTATATGTTAGGGTTTACTCTGTGTAGCACGTTCTGTGGCTTTTGACAAATGTATAATGACATGCACCCATGTATTCATCCCAGTATCATATAGTATGGCTTTACTGCTGTAGAAATACCCCATGCTTTGCCTAGTCATCCCTCCTCCTCTCTGAGGCCTTTGCAACCATGAAAGTTTTCACTGTCTCCACAGATTTGCCTTTTTTCTGGCTTAATTCTTGGTGAGTGTGTTTTTACTTTCACATGTATATCAGCTCTGCACTTAACTCTGTTGAGTCTGGCCACTTGTCCAAGTTGAAATACTATCCATGTTCTCTAGCCAACCATGATTCATCAAAACAAACAATACTGACCCCTTTTAAAGATCAACCAACATCTGATCCCTGAGTGTACCTTATGTTTAAACTGTTTTGTCTATCCCTTAGTACTTCCGAAAGGCAGAGTCCCGGCCATGTTCCTCACCCAAATCTTCTAAAAGCCCAAAGTGATTAATCCTCTCTCCATCATAGGGGCTATAGGATTTCTACGGCAAGTTCCCAGAGTTCCTCATTCTTGGCTCACTAAGTTCAGCAGGACCCCTTACTCGTAAGTTAACTGAATGAGAAGCTGTTACTGGATATCAAATACCATCATATACACAAAAGAAGTTAAAATTCATACCACAGATTACAAGAAGGAACAAAGTGAAGCCCATTTGAACTATTCAGCTGATTTTATGAAAAGCCCCTGAATGCTTGGGGGAAAAAAATGGGAAAGAGGAGGCTCTGTGGGGGGGGGGGGGGCAGAAGGAACCCTTCCTGCTCTTGGCCACACCTTTTTGGGCAAGAGACTGATTCTTCTTCTCTACCAGTACCCTCCCCCTTATTATCAATATCTGTTGTTTCATGTATTATACAGAGTACGTTATTAAAGTTCTTTGCTGCCTTGAAGGAAGGAAACATGAGACTTTAAAAATTTTCCAGCCTCTGTTAATGAATACATTTACAGGTTTTATGATCTTAAAAAATACCAAACTACTTTTCATCCTATTTGAAATACAGGCAAGATAACCTCAGAGCGAGAATTAGCTTTGTGATCAGTAGCACCCAGAACATCATGTGAAGAACGGGGAGTAGAATCCGAAGTGCCCAGCATCTGGCCTCAGAAGACACAGCCCCACGTGGCCCAGCCCCCTGGGTCTAACAAAGGAACCCAGGGGGACCAAAGAGAAAACCCAGTGTGGTCACCACACCTACCATTCTGGGTGAGTTTTGTGGAGCAAATGAGGGTGGCGATCTGAAAGCTGTCTTTAGTGCTGTCCTTGCTTGGGGTAAAGTTGGCCAGGGTTTTGGACGCTTGGAGCTCTTTTTCTTCCATCTCTACCTTAGTTCCCGGCAGGGTCAGATAGAACTTAGCATCTTCCATTTTCCTGTTGTCACCCTGAAAAGGAAGCACGTGAGGGACACCAAATGATGGGCAAAATCTCTCAGATGCAAATAAAACTGGTTTCTATCATGAGCATGGTGCCTTTCCAGGGTGTGAAACACAGTTTTCTCAAATTATACTTACGCTCCTTCCAACTCTAAGACACTGTGATACTTTTCCAGGGTTTGAGCCCAGAAATAATTTCAACACTGAATAAAAATGGAATAAGCTGTGAACTCCAAACTGAGAACACCCTAGATCTCTGCTATAAATAAATCAATACTAAGGAATGAGGTTGGAGTCCGTTTTCTTGAACCTGTAAATGGTCATAATAATATGTCATTGGGTTGAGGGGTTGACTGGATTCATTGGGAGGAAATAGCTTGTCATGCCTTCCAAAACTAGCTGTGAAATAAGGAAGACCCACACCAGGTAGAGGCAGCTCAAAGAAGCTACCGGTTCTGTGATATCATTAGATAAACGAGACCTTCCTGTGTCTACTTTCCACTTGAAAATCTCAGAAGATAATTCCGTAGCAGTTAAAGAGTGAGGACCAAACTGTTAGGGAAGGAAGCGAGGCACCCCCAGCCGAGAAATGGTGCCTGGCTCTCAGTGATACAAAAACCACATCCTACCACGCCCACCACACCCCAACCAAGCCCAACAGTGCAACTGGCCCTGTTCCACACAGGACGATGCAGAAGAGAGGCAGGTCAGCCCTTGACTAGTCACTGCCACCGAACGCCGTTGCAGGGGAGGGAGATGTGATAACGATCCAACTCACTCCTTACAGAGAGGGGATGGGAGATCATGCAGCTGGAGCCCTCTGGTTTTCTAGACTTATGGGGCAAACACTTCTAGCTCTCGACAAGTTTCTGATATTTATCCACATAATTCTGACTGGAGCCTTGAGAACCCATTTCAGAGGGAGTAAATATTTCCTAAGCCATTTTCTGAGCTTTGTTCTGTTAGCAGCACCTTATAAACCACCAGATCATGCCTCCCATCCTGCAGAGTGGTACCATCCGGGTTCATCAGTTTCACGAAGGCCACGCCAAAGGCTCGTTCCGATTTATCCCTGGCTGAAAAGACAGAAATACAGGTGTGAGCAGTGCAGAAAGACAGCAGGAAGCGCTGGCTGGGATGGACAAGTTCCCATTTTGCTCCAGGGTATGACATTCAATTATGCCATAATCAACACTGTTCAACAAGCTACAATAAGTTGTGTGTAGTGTGCATGCCACGGGCCCCTCAAAGGAAATATTCCCCAAACTGAAATCTTCTAGTACCTCCATGTATGTTTTTCTTCCTACATTTGCAAATGAATGAGACCAGCAACTATCCAATCACTCCAATCAGAAATGTGGATGTTGACACTGACTTCCTCCCACCATGTCAACTCCATGTACTGAAGACCTCTGAAACCTGTGCCTTTTCTCCCCCTCCCTTCTGTTCCTACCCTAGTTCCATTCGTGTCTTCCCTGTATTTCTAGAGGATCTTTCCAAGCAGTTCTTTTCTCCACACTGCAGACAGAGGGAAATTTCCAAAAGCTTATCTAATCAGGTCAACCATGCTGCTCCAAAACACATCCACGAGACACCTCATTTCTCTTGCTTTAAGATAGATTCAGTGAAGTCTTAATTATACTCCAAGGTTTATTATGCCACCTCTTCCTTCCCAGAGAGTAGCCCAGGTGCCAGGAGGGTCCAGCCTCCCCAAGGAAGCAGAGCACCATCCTCTGGATCTTTAGGTGTTGGCCTCTGGCCTCTAGGGTATCCCCTAGCTAGGTGTTGATGCCTGGGACAACCTGTGGCCTGTTCTCATCACACACACAACTCTGACGTCAGTAGTGGCTCATGTGCCCCTAGACTGGCTGAGCAGTAAACCACTATATGATTACATTACAATTTGTTTATCCATTCTCCTGTTGGTACCTGTTAGGCTATATCCAATGTGGGGATATTATGAATAAAGCTGTTATAAACATACACTAAACCACAACCACCACCACTACCACCCATAAAACACCTTTTAAGGGCTCCTCCATAACCTGGTTCAAAATAACCTTCATCCTTCATGATGTGGCTCCAGCCTGCCTGATTCAGACTGCTGAGGTGACTGACAGCGCTCTGTCACTCCCTAGCCCTGTGGCCCTGGGCAAGGATCTCATTTCTCTGTGCTCAGTTTGTTTTTTGTATAAACGTGGATAAAGGCATTCCGTACCTTATCAGGTGAGTGTGGACACTACACAGTGAATAAATAGAGATTCACTTAGTGTCTCATACAAACTAAGGGCTTGATAAATGCTAGCTTAGTATTATGTAGAACCACAGGAAATTGCTGATATTTGACTATTTGATACTGACCTCCCAAAACAGCAATTTTGTGGGGTTCAACCTAATATTAGGACTTCTCCCACTGCTCTCACTTCAGCCCTACTGCATTCACTTTGTGGATTTCAAACACATTTCTCCACCACCACTCTTCACTGGGCTAACATCGATTCCTTCTACACCTGTATGTCTCAGGACATCAAAATCATGCATAGATGACAGGGCTGGATGCTTTGCTACGTGCCTCCTTACAACTCTTTGCTGGTGTAGCACCGACCACACTGACCGTAGTTGCCTTTTCTCTTGCTCATCTTCCTAACCAGACCAGCAGAGACTTCAGGTCACTACCCATGTCCTATCCTGTGAAACCCTTAGAGAACATCTATTAACATCATACAGAACCTTAATATTCACAGAACATGTTTTGGGGAAATTCTTTAAAAAAATTTTTTTTATTTAAATTCAATTTAGTTAGCATATATTTATTATTAGTTTGAGGCACAGAGTTTCGTGATTCATCAGTTGTATATAACACCCAGTGCTCATTACATCATATGTCCTCCTTAATGCCCATCCCCCAGTTACCCCATCCCCCCTCCCCCCCCCCAGCAACCCTCAGTTTGTTCCCTAGAGTTAAGAGTCTCCTATAGTCTGCCTCCCTCTCTGGTTTTATCTTATTTTATTTTTCCTTCCCTTCCCCTACGTTCTCTATTTTGTTTCTTAAATTCCATATATGAGTGACATATGAGTGACACTCTGATTTTCTTAATACTAATGAATCCTGAAGTAATGGTGCTAAGTATGTAGTTTCCAAAAATTTTGTTTTCCAGACCCACAAAAGTACTGTCGAGCAAGAGTAAATCTTTTTTTTTTAACAGAAATGTGTTGTAGATCTCCTAGTACTTACATTCCTGAGATGACCTGTGTCGGAAGGTAAATCTTATATGGCAGCGAGTAACCTCCTCTATAGCAATGGATACCTGCATAATAATAAGGAACTTACAATTGACACATCCACAGTATGTTGCACTCTTAGCCCACTTCATAGAGTTGGTTCATTTTTAGTCTCTTACTACAGCACAGAGTGAGACTGAGAGTAAAGTTCCATTCAAAACAGACTGAGTTATTTTCAAAACCTCAAGAATCTCAAGAGAAATCATCTTTGCTGTTTATCATGGATTCTGAGGATGGCGATATTATAAGTTTCTAGTACTTTCTCAAGTATGAAAGAGGAAGGACTTCAGAGGAAAAAGATCAGGACTTTGGGGTCTATATAGGAGCTTCCAGACTGCAAGGTGTATTGTAGGTTGACTGATATGGTAATAATTAGGGTCCATAACAGAAGGAAAAGATAATATACTGGGGACAAGGAAGCTTTTTGCTGTTTCCATATATAGAGGGGAGAAGGTAAAAAGAAGTACATGGCAATGAAAAGAGCAGAAAATTTGTGGCAAATAGTTAAATAAATTATAGCATGATCATATAATGGAATATTATTCGAGTACCTAGAGACCCATTTCTGAAGAACTTTTAATGCCTTGAGATAAGTAGTTTTAAAAAGCACAACATAAACCTGTTAGAAACAGCACATTCCAAAACATATGACGTATATAAAATTGTGGAAAATGGTTACTTCTGCATTGAGATATTAGTGCAAATTTTTTTTTTTTTTTTAGTTTTCTAGGGAGAGCTCGAAAGACTGACAATCTGATTTGATTCTGACAATCAAGAAGTGGGCTCCAATTTAGGTTTGGATATTAAGCAGTTACAGGATCTTGGAAAGTCACCTGACCATTTTTGAGTCTTGGTTACCTAATCAGAAAGGGCATTACGACACTGTTTTAGCCACAGGGCTACTGAGCGACTCACAGGGGATGTCTTATCTAAAAAGCACTTAGGAATTTGTAATACACATATTTAAAGTGAAAAGAGGCCCAGAAAACTTGGTCAGAGGCCAAGAAGAAAAAAATGTTAGGCAACTGCTTGCAGAGTGTGAAAATTTCCACTTGGTTTTAGATCATCTTGGCAACCTATTACATCATTACAACCACAAGCGTCTCTAGTCAAATTTCTACACATTTATCAATGAGAATGTTATTTAAGAATTCTGAGTTAAAGATAAATACTCTCATGCAGAATTGTATCAATTCATTTCTTATAGGACACCACAGGCAACCGATCTATAACTTCAGGATAAAGAAGGAATGATTTGTGGGTAAAAAGAAGAAAGGAATCTAAACAAGGTTTAATATATGATGGAGATTACAAATGGTGCATCTCACCTTGACAGTCTCATACCAACAGGGCTGCTTGACTTGGTAATAGACTACTGATTTGTACTCTGAAATGCCTTCATATCCGGCACCAGGATGAATTGCTTTCTTTGGATGGGAAGAAAAAATTAAAAGAGGATTTTTTAAAATTGTTTTTTATTTTAATTCCAGTATAGTTGACATACAGTGTTATATTAGTTTCTGATGTATAATACAGTGATTCAACAATTCTGTACGTTACTCCGTGCTCATCACGTGTGCTCTGAATCCTCATCCCCTATTTCACCCATCACCCCAGCCACCTCCCCTCTGGTAGCCATCTGTTCTCTATGGTTAAGAATCTGTTTCTTGGTTTGTCTCTCTCCTTTTTTCCCCTTTGCTTGTTTGTTTTGTTTCTTAAATTCCATACATGCGTGAAGTCATATAATATTTGTCTTTCTCTGACTGACTTATTTCACTTAGCATAATACTCTCTAGCTCCAACCATGTTGTTGCCAATGGCAAGATTTCATTCTTTTGATGGCTGAGTAATATTCCATTGTGTGTATACACACACACACACACACACACACACACACACACACACACACATCACATCTTCTTTATCCATTCATCAGTCCATGGACACTGGGCTGTTTCCATAACTTGGCTATTGAAAATAATGCTGCTATAAACAAAGCGGTGCATGTGTCCCTTTGAGTTAGTGTTTTTGTATTTTGGGGGTAAATACTTAAAAGGGATGATTTCATCTAGAAAAATAAGAGAACTGCACACACCATGCATGAGCCCCCTACCCTCCACGCAGCCAGCACGTGTCTCACACTGGCACACATCCACCAATCGCATTTGGAGGCTGAAGAGTAGGGTAGGAATGAGTTTCTACTCCTTTCTTTGAGGGTCTAAGTGTGTAACTGTGGTAGTCACTGAGGGACCAGCACCATCCTACCCTTTTTGGGTTGCAGCTTCCTGATTACTAAAACAAAACCTAAAGACCAGTGGGAGTCGATGTTTAACAGCTTTCTACGGGGTGTGTCTCCTCTGGTTCTGCGGACTTGGTACAGGAAGGGGGCCCTGCAGTGCCTTCTGGGCATCCACACTACTTCGCTCCAGCCCCACAGGGACCTACCTCGCTTGAAAGTAGCCAAGTAACTTGCCAATGACATAGAACTTCTGGATCAGAAGCATACACATGAAATCACTAGTGGCTGGAGATACTTCTTAGAACGGGAGAAATGATGAAAATAAGAGTCTAAATGGGTTTCTTAGTAAACTTGGTAATTGATAATCACAAATCTAGCAGGTTTCATCCTTTTTCCTTACGAAAAAAGCAAATGCACACTAATGTGGACAGCAAGTCACCTCAGACCAAAGTCCCCTGTTGGAAAGAAGCGTGTGATGGCAGCAGGATTTCTGGGCAGCCCCACCTACCTCCAAGAGCTTGCCCTCCTCATCATACACAGACATGGTCACCTCCACGTTCTTTGGCGTCTTCTTTTTCCCTTTGTCAAACTCCCCGTGGATCAGGGTGACATAAATATCATTCCGCACATCCCCTGCAACGGGACAACCCATCCTGTGAGTGGTACTGAGAGAAGTCATTTTGAATTTTCAGGATTACATAAGATAAAACATGTAGATAAAATATGAAAGGATCTGACTTGGGGAACCCGGGTGGCTCAGTCGGTGAAGCATCTGCCTTCAGCTCGGGTCATGATCTTGGGGTCCTGGGATCGAGTCCCACGTCGGGCTCCCTGCTCAGCGGGAAGTCTGCTTCTCCCTCTGCCCCTCCCCCCACCGCTTGTGCTCTCTCTCTCTCAAATAAATAAATAAAATCTTAACAGCAACAAAAGAAATGCTCTGACTTTATAGGGAGCTATTCATACAGCAGAGGTTTTTATATGTATTGTCCTTTTCAGCTTCCCTCAGCCTATCTTTCCATACATACCAAAGTGTCTGTGAAATACAGTGTTTTAAAACGAACTCTTTTCAATAGTGATCCTTTGTTGTTTATTAATAACTGCTTTCTAATAATAAGTACACAATGTATTTTATTAGGTTACGGTAGCAGATTCTTTTTTAATAATGCCTTGGAGGGCGGTATTTTAACACATCTGAAAAAAACAAAAGCTAATGTTTATTGGGTGCTTCCTCTGTGCTAGGCACTGTTCAACATGTCTTACAGGTAATCATTACATTTATTTAAATCAGCTTAATTGTTTTTACCAGTATCAGAATCATTTCCACTTGTCATATTCTTGGTTGTCCAGCACAAAATTTTAAAATTTAATTAGCAAATGAATAGCCCCCACAGTGAAGAAAAAAATTAAATGTTAGTAAGATGCTTAAACAAAACCTACAATGAATGAAAGGCATGCCAAATTCCTGGCCAGGAAGGCTCGGTATTATAAGAAGGACTCCAAAATCTATTCTATATTAAACTGCTTCCCAATGTAAAAAAATAAAACCTTCTAGCGTTATAAGAAAACAGGGGTGCACAGTTAGAGCACTTTTTATTTTCATCACTCATCTGCTTAGAAAAAAAATTAAGGTCTTGACCGCAGTTGGTTAAGGTGATGCAAAAGGGGCTTATTCATACAACACAGTTCGAAATCTTAATTGACATACACTTTGTCAATAGAGAAACGGAAAATTTGTGTTAAAAGCCTTATCTGACAAAGCAACTTCACTGGTAATATTTGTCCCACAGTATTAAGAATGTAAACTAAAATTTATCTATAAGGATATTCATTGTGGTGTTGTTTACAAAAGTGAAAACTTGGAAAATCCTCAATTTCCAACAACAGGTAGCGGTCTGAATATGGTACAATCAGATGAGATAATATTCATTTATTCATTTAAAAAACTGACCAAGCACCTACTCTGTACCAACCACTGTGCCAGGTGTCTGGGAGACAATGGTGAGCCATGCACCAGCCTCGCTCTCACACAGCCTACGGTCTAGTGGAGGAGAGAAGCATTAGCAGATAATCACAGGACAAAATGCATCATTACAAATGAAGGAAAAGGTCAGGCTCTGTGAAGGCATAACACTAAGTCCCAACTGTGTCTGGAGGTGTGAGTGAGAATTAACCAGTTAAAGAGAGAAGAGAGATCCAGTCAGGTAGGAATAGTAGCTACTGAAGTCCCAAGGCAGGAAGTAGTTGGATCTGTGGTAATGGAGTTCAAAGGAGCGGTCTCGAGGCTACGGACACGAAGTTAGAAGCAACTAACACACAGAGGCAAAGTGAGTGGATGAGATCCCACAGGAAGAGAATACAGGCATGAGAAGGAAAGAAACCTGTTAGGGGCTGAACTGTTTCCCCTAAAGTCATATGCCGAAGCCCTCACCCTTAACACCTCCAAATGCGACTGTATTTGGAGACGGGGCCCTTAAACTGGGTGACTAAGGTAAAATGAGGTCATATGGTGGGTGCTAATCCAATATAACTGGTATCCTTACAAGAAGAGAGTAGACCCAGGGGTGACCATGTGAGGACATAGCAAGAAGACGGCCATCTCCTAGCCAAGGAGGGAGGCTCGGAAGAAACCAGCCCCACTGACATCTCAGACTTCCAGCCTCCAGAAGTGTGAGAAAATAAATGTCTGTTGTTGAAGCTGCCCAGCATGTGATACTTTATCAGGGCAGCCCGAGCAAACTAACAGAGGACATAAGGACCAGACACTGGGGAACTCTCACATTTAAAGGCAAGGTCGAAGGTGACATGGTGGCAAAGGGGAACGGACACAAAGAGAAGAGTGCGGGTCCCTGATGATGAGGGAGGACCGGTTCCACAAGGGGGTGGTCAACAATGTTACATGCGGCCAAGGGAACCTGAGACAATCTTTAGGCTAAAAAATATCCACTGGACTTAGTGACATTACACTCTAGGGGTTCTCTAGTGACACCATTCTGGACAGGACAGATGCAGAAAGAGAGACAGAGAGTACGTTATGCGATGGCTTCTGAGATTCTGGGTGTGCAGCTGGGGGCAGACAGCAGGAGCACCTGGGCTAGAGGGGAAAGTCGGGCTGAGGGAAGGACTTAAGGTGTCTCTGGAGCCTGTTCAAATGGTGATGAGGAGCAACAAGGTAAGGAACTTTGGTCTGGACCTCTTATTTCTCAAACCTGGCTGATCACCAGAATCACCAGGGGAGCCCTGGTCTTACAAACTGAATCGGAGTCTCTGGAACACTGTGGGAACCTGTATTTTAATGTTTCTGAGCTGATCCAAAGACCAGCATTTGGGAGCCATCATCTGAGATGACTTTCCAAGCCTATGACAGCTCTGGCAGTCCGGGAGCCAATCCTACTGACTGGCAAGATCAGAAAGAATCTTCTAGGCAGACTGCAGAGAGAAGTTCACTTTGTCCGAAAAAATAAACTTCTCCATTTTATTGTTTCAGATTTCATTCTTCCTGTAGTAATAACACTGCCATTGGTTATAGGAATATTACTGATGCTTATTTTTTTAAACAAGAAGACAAACACTTTCACAGAATAAAGATGAAGATGCACTGGGCTGAGTGAGTCCAGAAGGGATAACGTCAGCAGACGAAGAACCACCTTCTTTCACAAGAAAAGAAAAAGATGGTCTCCATTTTACAGATAGCTCTTCTTCCCATTCATCCTTTTTAATGCCTGCTACGTGCAGACGATGTGTGTGGCAACACATTATTACTGCTCCTTCATCTCCAGAAAGAGGAATAAGAGGTTGTGTTACTTTAAAAGAGCCCCAATATTTATGCAGTAGACAACAGCATGGTTTTCTAAAATTTTTCTAGCATGCCAAAGGTTATTTATTTATATATTCTATCTGCCTATCTATAAAATATGTAATATCATCTTTTAATATTTATAACACATATGCTTCATGTAATACATATATATATGTAAAATCAAACTGGGGGGCACCTGGGTGGCTCAGATGGTTAAGCGTCTGCCTTCGGCTCAGGTCATGATCCCAGGGTCCTGGGATCGAGCCCCACATCGGGCTCCTGGCTCAGCAGGGAGCCTGCTTCTCCCTCTGCCTCTGCCCCTCCCCCTGCTCATGCTCTCTCTCTCTCTCTGTATCTCTGTGTCTCAAATGAATAAATAAAATCTTTAAACAAAAAAGAAAAAAGAAAGCAAATGGGTTAAGTCAGCAAAATCAAGAGAACACATATGCAGATCACCAATATATGGTGCCAAAAAAGACAAAACGAGTAAGAAAACTGTAGAATGTTTACATTCTTGTCACCACATGTATGGGGAGAGCCAAGCACACAGTCGGAGTTTAAGCAAATGGGGCAAAGGTTCTGGCAGACACTGTGCTGAGCAGGGACCTCGCTGGAGCTTCCTGGCCAGCAGCCCCCAATGCTGGTGATGTCATCCTGAGAAAGGGACATGCGACAAGAAAAACCACTCTTGGGGCACAAAACCTGTGCTACCATTAGCGATCCTTAATGGATAACGTAGGGAAGAATTTCAGAGGGGCTCCTGCAGAGCAGAAAGGAAGAGTGACAAGGAAACTCTGAGTTACGTGTAGAAGTATCATCTCGGGCTCGTGCACTGGGTACTGCAACCCTCTTGGAGTCTCCCACTGTCTCGATACCACAGATGCGGGTCACTAAAGGCCACAGAGGTTCTTGCACTGCCTCAACTGTCACGTTAGAAGTAACTGCTGCATGGAAGGAAGAACTAAAGGAACGCGTAACAGGTGAACCACGTAAAAGCTTTTACCTGGAAGTATTATTTCAGGAAAGCCCATTTTTCGGGCGATTGCAGTTGATCTATCCACCAGGTGTGAAAAATTCTTCTGAACCTGTGAGAGGTCACCTGGCAAAAGCTTCAAAGATACCCAAAGTCCTTAAAAGAAACAAAGGATGAACTTTCAGTTCTCTTTATGATCTATACCATAAACATACATAGAAACGCTGAAAAAAAATGATTGTAGTAATATACAGATACTTTATTATAAAAATGTAAATTCTCCCCCAGTTAACTTATAATTTTCATGACACTCCTATCAAAATCACAACAAGACTTCCCTGAGAATTTGACAGAGGTGTGAACAGATGTTTACTTTGGGGGGAAAAAAACATGAGTAAAGACAGCCCCTATCAGATACCAAAATATTATGGAGCTGTAATGAAGTGTTGTATTAGTGGTAGAAAAGATACATATAAATCAGTGGAAACAATTAGATTAAGTACTATAATATATAGCAACTTAATATATAGTAAAGATGCATAACAAATCCTGAAAAAAGAAAACAATTTCATAAATGTGCTGGAATAATTTTCTTGCTACTTAAAAGAGAAATTTCTCACCTCACGTTTTCATTAAAATAAATTCCTAATATAATAAAGAAATAAAATGAACCTTTTTCCTAAGTATAGAGACAAATGAAGAAATTACACGCAAAAAGAATTATCTGGGGGCATCTGGGTGGCTCAGTCAGTTAAGCGTCCAACTCTTGATTTTGGCTCAGGTCATGATCCCAGGGTCCTGGGATCAAGTCCCATATGGGGCTCCACACTCAGCAGGGAGTCTGCTTGAGGATTCTCTCCCTCTCCCTCTGCCCCTTCCCACACTTGTGTGCATGTGCATGCTCTCTCTAAAATAAATAAATAAATTTAAAAAAAAGAATTATCTATACACAAATGGAAAGTTTTGATATTTATAAAGAAGTGAAAGGCAGGCTACAAATGGTGAAATACCTATAAGAAATTACAAGAAAAACATCAAATAAATGGAACATGTATAGACAATTCACAAAGAAGTACACGAAGTTGGTAAATATTTGACAAATCAAAAATTGAAAAATACATGTTCTATGTAAGACATTGTTATCTTCATAAAAACTGAGAAGGAAAACTTTAGAAAAACTCATGAATGCATAGGAAGGGTAGGTAATTCACCACCAGGTAGTCTTTTAAATTAGAAAAAAAATTTTTTTTTAAGATTTTATTTATTTGACAGAGAGAGACACAGCGAGAGAGGGAATACAAGCACGGGCAGGGGTGAGGGAGAAGCAGGCTTCCCGCGGAGCAGGGAGCCCGATGCGGGGTTTGATCCCAGGACCCTGGGATCATGATGCGAGCAGAAAGCAGATGCTTAACGACTGAGCCACCCAGGTGCCCCCCAAGTAGTTTTTTTTAAACTGCAAGAGAACTATGGAAGTCTACTTTTCACCTTTGCACAGGACTAGCAGGGAACGAGCGAGGGGAGAGAATCCTAAGCAGGCTCCATACCCAGCATGGAGCCTGACACATGGCTGGATCTCACAACCCTGAGATCATGACCTGAGCCAAAATCAAGAGTCAAACACTTAACCAACTGAGTCAACCAGGCACTCAAAAAACAGTTAAAGATTTTTAACTATCAGCTTGCCAAGCAGGCACCATGGTAATCAGCACCCACTGGCAGAAGTCGATGGAAAGCAATCTGGTAATATGTGTTATCTCTGAGTTTGAGCTTGTTCCCATCATCTGCCCTAGGAGTCCCACCTGTAGGAATTTTCTTGGGGAGGTAATCCTAAATATGGAAAAAGCTTCATGTATAAAAGTAGTCACAGCAGTTATTTAAGTTTATAATGGTTACAAAATAGAAAACACACTTAAGTGTTTCCCTAGGGGGATGAAATTTTCTTAAATCCAAGCAATGGAATATCATGCAGACAGCCACCAAAAAATATCTGTAATGAGCATAAAAACATTTGGAAAGTACTTGCTTCATTAAGCAGCAAGAAAGCAAATATTTTTTTTCCACTTTTGTTTGGGAAAAAAAAGAAATTACACATACACAGCAATTTATTTAGTATAAGGATTTTCCACTCTAATAAATCATATCCTAGGCTAGGAGTTCTAAAACAACAAATGTATTTCATATTCTTTAATGATTCCTCACATGTCTTTCCTACCCAGAACAACTGTGAATACATGGAAAATGGAATATGCTGAAAATAATGTGTTTCCTGATTGCCTCCACTTCAGTAGAAGATGGTTACAGAGTGGTTTAAAAAAAAAAAAAGAAAAAGTGACCCAATCTTCAAAATTATCCCCAAATCATCACCATCATAGTATTTGAATTTTAAAATTTTAACTAGTTTTTAAAATATTATTTGAATTTAAAATGCAGTTTCAATGAATGGAATTTCTTAGTTAAAACTGTCAAAAGAACAATATATGGAGGCACTAAAAACAACTCGAAATGTTTTGCTAGCTAGCCCGTTATTTCATGTTAATATCTGTTCAGGGGTGCCTGTGTGGCTCAGTTGGTTTAAGCATCTGCCTTTAGCTCAGGTCATGATCCCGCATGCATCAATCCATCGCATCCATCAATCCATTGGGCTCCCTGCTCAGCAGGGGGTCTGCTTCTCCCTCTCCCTCCCCCGACTTGAGCTCACGCTCTCTCTCTCCCTCAAATAAATAAATCAAATCTTAAAATTAATATCTGTTCATTTGTATTACTTTGGTCTCTTTCCTCTCAATTTTACTTAATGTAAGGGGAGAGAAAACTGAAAAAGGACTCATGGGATAAAAATTTGTTCCACAGATTTTCCACAGAATTTACAAAATACAGCTGTGATCCAATTCAGTGCTGAGTGCAGCCTCTGCACTCTTCAGTGTTAAATGCCTTCAGTAGGAAGCTGAGGTGAGCAATCCCCAGCAGGGTCTGCTTTGCATCAGAGAAAGATAGGGAAAAGGGCCAGAGTCCAAGGACCCAGTTCCAATGCCACCCCCCAAGCCCCCTCCCAGCTTAGTACGCAGGGCTGTGTACCTTGTCCTTTGTGATTCACTTCCTTCGCTGCTATCACTTTATTCAAGACTGAAGTGAGTGGCTCATTCTCCCCAATCACATGGGATGTTATCAGGGGCGACATGATTAGCTGTCTCTGTCGGATATAGGTTTCCATTGCAATTCTGGGAAAGTCAGAAATGAGAGGTAAGGAAAAAAGAGGAAGTTTCCATAGCACAGCTTCAGATAGGGTGGGTCCTCTGGGAATAATCTGGAAATCTAAACACTAGACCCACCTGGCGAGAGGACTCTCCTTTTCCTTAATTTTTCCATGGGGTGCCTATCTTGGTCATTTCCAAGATGAATTCGGTGTCTAAGACAGGCACCCCCATGGAAAAAGGAAAAAACAAACCTCCTAAGGACAAACAAAACTGATAGCCAAATGTTAACAAAATCAGAGGCAAGACCTAATGCTCTTTCTGCGGTGGGACAGGCTGACATAATGGAAGTGAAGCCACAGGAGGGATGGGACAGGTGATCTGGCCTCCAGTCCTGGTTCTACCTGACATAAGCTCTGGGCCTCAGTAGCCTCATCTGTATGCTGGGACTAGATCAGATGCCTTCAAAGGCCTCCATCTGGCACCAACACTCGACACACAGACAAGAGCAGCATGCACGCAGTAGCTTCTGGACGGCGTTCTTAGATTCTCACGTGATGGCAAACTCTCTTTAGAGTGATGATGGTACAGCCACCGGCAAACAAGCTTCATTTTAATGAGATCCAAGACCCAAACACAGCCCCTTCCCGACAGCACGAGCACTCTCATGAACTACGTATCAGCCCGGTACAGGTCTGCAGTCTCCCCCTCTGCTGTGGTTTTGTTCTCTTGCCCATGACGCAAGCCAGCTTTTTCTGCAGGCTTCTGATCTCGACCCTGATAGTAGCGGGGAAATGTACTGCCATGTCTCAGTCAAACCAAATACCAAATATGGCTGGGATCTGAGTGGCTGTCTTCAAAGGACTCTCGCTTAGATGGACTAGCAGAATCCATCCAGGAGACTCTCCTCGTACGATACGCTGTAAAGCTTATTGATGAGGTAAGCTATGAAAGCATTTGCCATAAATCTTAGGAGTTAAAAGCCAGAGACTGTGATTTGCATCATGAATGCTCTACAGTGGCCGTTGGCTGCACAGTGAGTGGTAATCAAATCAGGGGGCTGGGCTCCTTGGAAACTCAAAGCATGTGTTATCATACAGTGAAGGCGATCTCAGGGCTCACTGTTCAACATGGCTGCGCGATGGGAGCTGGTTCAGAAATTAGGCAGGGGGGCACAAAATCTAAGGAAGAAACCCACGTCAGTAGTGAAACAAACATACAGAATAACTTTTCACATCCATGCATGCTGCTATTATGTATATACACATATAATATGCATATATGCATAATGCACATATAATAGTGATAAATAACATTATACATATATATAATAGGAACATCCATGGATGTGAAAGTTCTTTATGTTTATAATATATACATTTTAATATATCTAAATATATATTCATATTTATTCTATATATATTATTTTTACTCATAATGCTTAAGATATAGTCATATTTAATATAATGATACATTTAACTTAACGTATTAATAAAATATTATAGTTATTATATATCTATTACACTTAATACATTTAACACACTTGAATGGGTATGTAAACATTTATATTGGGATCAGCATTCATGAATTTGAGTCACTTCATAATTCAAATTAGCATTAAGCTACATAAAATATTTACCTCACCACATTCTGGTAGGGTCAGTATATAGGTGGTAGGATACTAGATAAGTGCATTTAAAAATTATTAATAGAAGCCTCTGGATGAAGGAAGGAAGTACTACTTAGCAAGAGCTATTTGTACTATTATATTTAGAAACTGGTCTAAAGGTAGTGGGCTTTAAACTGAAAGAGAAAGATTTTTACACTTTAAAATTAGATATGATACATATTTTCTGTACAAAAAATAGAAATACACAGTTAAACAAAAATGGGGCAAAATCACCTTTGGTTACATCAACAGAAGTAATCACTGTTAATTATGGAGTATATTCTCTGAAGCATCTAAATTTTGAGGCTTCCAATGCACTGTAACAATTTATAGTCTTATAAGTACTGTATATTTCCTCCTACCCAGCCAAACTCTGGATATTGTATATATTTTTAAAACTCGGTCAAACCAAATGCCAAACCTCCTTATTTAATTTGCATTGCATTGATTCTCAATGAATTTTATAGGCCATTTCTTTCTGTGTATGTGTGCATGTTTGTGTGTGTATATATACACACATATATTATTTTCTGTTCATAACTTTACGAATTTCTATTATTTACAGAGTAACAATATTCATCCTTTTTTCATACACATAGCAAAGATTTTACTAAATTTTATGCCCTACCTAAGTTATTTAACACTTTTGTGTGGTTTAACCTGTCCATCTTTCTTTTTCGGTCAGATCTTTGCAGTCTGAGTCAGCAAGGCCTCCCACATACCACTATTCCATAAAACCTCTACTTTCCTGTAGTATTTTAAGATTTTAGTTCTTACACTTACACATTTAATCACCCGGAATTTCCAGGGGCACACGATGTGTGACAAGGCTCTAACTTAGGTTTCGTAAATGGGGAGCTAATTGTGTCAAACAATTCATTTCTGCATAGCTGCTATTTCTCCACTGATTTGCGCTATGATTGTTTAAAAATCATCTATTAATTCCAGCATCCTTGGGCTGGTTTCCAGAATTCTCAGCGGTTGTACTGATCCGCTGTGGCAGCTGCAGGCTGGCTGAGACAGTCATCTTCCCTCCCTGGCACGACCGCCCTGTTAGGACTCCGTTCCAGCATCGTCGGCCGCCTCCCCGAGGCCACCCCCACCGGCGCCCGGGGTAAGGCGAGCATGACTGCTAGAGCCATGATGTTCACACATATGCTTCTTCAGAGCCCTGTGGGTTCACATCTGCTGGCTCATGACTCCCCAGGCGCCCACGCGGGGCTCCAGCTCCTGAAGCTCAGTCAGGAGGCCTTAGCGGAACGTTTCAAGGAATCCTCCTATGTCGTCCCAGGCTGGCTTTCCCTCCGCCAGCAGGAGCCCTGGCATTACTGGTCAGCCCCTCACTCTCAAACCTCCTAAACTCCTTCTACTCAAAGCGTGGTCTCCAGCCCGGCAGCAGCAGCTGGTAGCCTGTCAGCCACCAGCCTTCAGACCCACCAGACCACGTTCTGCATTCTGACAAGATCTGCAGAGAACAGGATGCCTTGTCTTCTGTGATACCTGCTCCAGACAAGAGTGCAAATACAGTTTGGCCTTCCTGACACCTACGGGGCTCCATTCTCCAGCTTCTGGTGCAGATACAGATTTGCCCCTTCTATTCCATCGGTCCTTTCTGTAGAATCAGAAAAGCTAGGCTTACACTCCTCCATGTGATCCCAATATAAAGGACCTTGAACAAAGTCTTCTGTCAGCTTCTATCTCACAGTCTTCCAGCTTACGAGGCTTTCCTTCTGTAACTGAGCAAATGGTTCCTAGCACCTGGTTCTGTGTTAACAGATCATTCAAAGAACTAATCCAGGTCTCAGGTCACCTGGGATCAAGGCCAAAGTACTTACTGCTGAAAGGGAATAAAATGCTGCTTTTCTTCATCATCCACCTTCCCATGGATGATATCAGTAATATCCATCACTAGGAAAAAGATAAAACTTAATTAAAGAACTTAATTGCTTCAGGCTTCAGTAAGTTACTATGGAAAACTATGGTATCTGCAAACACAGGACACTAGAGAAGAGAGATACCATGTGGGGACACAAGGTCTTTGCTAGCGATGACTCTCAGTGCCCAGCCTGCAGAACAATTCATCGGGAGCTCGGGCACGGGTTTGGATTTTTCTCAGATCAATCCGGCAGACTACCTGCTTTTTAAATTTCTACACGACCAAGTGCTAAATTCTTGAGAAATCGGAAACCAGATTGGTTCTGTTTTGTTTTAGCAAGCGTGCATTCAAATACACAGAGCACACATATTTTTTTGTCAGGAGTGTCAACAGAATGGAGACCTGAGAGAGAAACTCAAGGCTCAAAGGGGTCAACTGTCCCTTGGACTTGACATGGCCGCAGCCGGCTTCCACATACACGGAGGGAAGCCAGGGCTTCGGCAGTGCAGGACAAAAGATCACACAGCGATTTGCTGCTTTGTGCACAAGAAGAGCAACAAATACAGCACGGTCCTGTGTCTACTGCGTCTATTACCTTACTTATACTGATACTATTATTCGCCCTACTTTAAGAGATGAGGAAACACGGGCGCCTGGGTGGCTCAGTCGGTGAAGCGTCTGCCTTCGGCTCAGGTCATGGTCCCAGGGTCCTGGGATCGAGCCCCACATCGGGCTCCCTGCTCCATGGGGAGTCTGCTCCTCCCTCTGACCCCCTTTCACACGCTTTCTCTCTCTCAAATAAATAAATAAAATCTTTAAAAAAGAGAGAGAGGGGGGCGCCTGGGTGGCTCAGCTGGTTAAGCGACTGCCTTCGGCTCAGGTCATGATCCTGGAGTCCCGGGATGAGTCCCGCATCAGGCTCCCTGCTCAGCGGGGAGTCTGCTTCTCCCTCTGACCCTCCCCCCCTCTCATGTGCTCTCTCTCTCTCATTCTCTCTCTTTCAAATAAATAAATCTTAAAAAAAAAAAGAGAGAGAGAGAGAGAGAGAGAGATGACACTGAGCACAGGAAAGGTTGGTAACTTGCCCCAGATCAGAAGTTTTAAGTGGTGAAGCCAAGGTATGAACCCAACAGCGATTATGGGGCCAAATCACTTAAGCCAATCATGCCCTGCTGCCCGGAGAACTAGTAAGTGGGCCATCCTACAGCTGTTCAGACCAGGCAGGGCCCACAGCCAAGAGGCGAGCCCTGGGTTAATGAATTACAATCTGGCCATAAAACACACACTCACCATCCACTCCCCAGATAACCTGTTTGGAGATTAGAAGTACAGAGATAGGAGACATTTCTTGTAGGAAAAACTAAAGCATAAGGAAGGAAATGCCTTCTCAAAGCGACCCAAACCATAGTGGGTAAGGCTTGGGAAATCATAATGTTGGTGAAAGGGTGCTGCAAAAGCTTGCTGTCAGCCCTTAAGAGACGCCTGCAAACAGTGTTCCAAAAAAATACTGAAAAATCCGTATCTGGTGCACCCCCTCTTCCAAGGGGTGGTTCATTTGTCAATGCCGTCACATAGTTACTCTAGATCTCTGCTGATCGATGCTTGGCATCAAGGCTCAGAGTAAATTACTGTTCTCTCCGTACACACACACACACACCCACCCAGAAACAGAAAAGCAAGCAAAAGCTTCATGTTCAAATCTCTTTGGCCCATTTTGGATGGTAGTGATCTTAAGTATGCCCTAAATTCTTAGTTCAGTGGACTCTCATACAGATGGCTAAATTGTGCTAGGCCAGGGTTCCTTCCCTTTTCTGAGATTTCACTTTATTTGTCTATCAGGAGTAATGCTGTGCCCTCCTCAGAGACTGGCAGACCTTGAGCAGCGCGTGGGAGTGCAAGGTTGGTCAAGGAATGACAACATACACAGTCTCGTGCAGAGGAAGCCTCGTTACCCACACAACCCACAAGGTCAGTCTTGCTGACATTTTCTGGCCATTTGTTCCAAGAGAATTAAGGCATTTCATTGATAGCTTTCAAAACTCCTTAGTGACTAAAACGTCAATGTATGACCAGAAATGTATTTCCTTAATTTAAGAAACTACAGAAGAGGGCGCCTGAGTGGCTCAGTCGTTAAGCGTCTGCCTTCGGCTCAGGTTGTGATCCCAGGGTCCTGGGATCGAGCCCCACATCGGGCTCCCTGCTCCGCGGGAAGCCTGCTTCTCCCTCTCCCACTCCCCCTGCTTGTGTTCCTGCTCTCGTTGTCTCTCTCTCTGTGAAATAAATAAATAAAATCTTAAAAAAAAAAAAAAAAAAGAAACTACAGAAGAAAATGCAGGGCCTCTTGGGAGGCTGTGGGGCTTGATTTAAGCCAAGGACCCTCTTTGAAAGAGGTTACAAACCCAGTGTTGCCTTTGAAGAGTGAATCTCCCGGACAGGCAAACCACTTTCCAGGGAGAATTTTACTGGACTGAAATCAATATGCAGCCTGCAGTCAGGGAGAATGCCAATAGTCACAACAGAGCCTTTACTATGGTCCTACTGTCCACAGGGCACTGTGCGGGGCACGGAGGGAGAAACAAAGGAGGCAGGGTCTAGGTGAGGACACAGAACCCCCGAGAAAAGATACCTGGGAGCCCCAAGCAAATGCTGTGTGTCCGATACTCACGCTGACAACCACATTCATCTTACACTGTCTCTGGGTTTCCCTCCCTCCTATCTTTGTGTGCGTGTGGTGGGGGTAAAATCTGCTTTTTTAACCATTCTTAAATGTACACTGTAGCAGAATTAGGTACATTCACAATGTTGAGCAGCCATCAGCACCCTCCCCCTCCAGAACTTGTCCATCTTCCCAAACTGAAACTCTGTTCCCCTTAAATACTAGCTGCCCCCATTTTCCCCCCACTCTGCCTTCTGTCTCGCATAATGAATCTGACCACTCTGGGTACCTCATATAAGTGGGGTCACGCAGTGTTTATCTTTTTGTGACTGGCTTATTTCACTTTACACGACATCCTCAAGGTTCATCCACGTTGTGGAATTTCCTTCCCTTCTCAGCCTGTCCACTGTATGGACAGACCACATTTTCTTTATCCATTTCTCCATCCAGGGACACTTGGGTTGCTTCCACCTTTTGGCTAGTGTGAATAAGGCTGCTCTAAAGCTGGGTGTACAAGATCTTGAGACCTTCTGCTTCCGGTTCTTTTGGGTGGACACCCATAAGTGGGGTTCCTGGGTCGTAAGTTCGACATTTAACTGCTGGAGGCCCTGCCATGCTGTCCTTTACAGTGACGATACCATTTACATTCCTCCCTGGGTCTTTCTGTACCTGCTACTCCAAATGGTCTTCGGAGTCCACACGTGTGCTTTTTGCCCTCCTTCAGCTCCATGTGGCCCACCCGGACAATCTGGCACACAAGGCTGATGCGGGGCCGGATGAGGTCTGTGCTACTGAGGTCCTAAAGGGACAGAGAGCATGCAAAAAGGAGATGATGCTGCATCATCCTGTCACCTTTGTTTCTCTTTTCATTCGACAACAGAACACCGTCTCGAGCGTATTTCCTAATGCTGGAATAGCAGAATGACTCCCTCCCTCCCCCATACCCAGCCAAGAACTACCATGGCATCAGAGAAAAATGACTGTATTCAAAAAAGGAAGGAATTTGTTTGATTTCCCAGTTCCTACTTCAAATTGAGAAATCGAATCATTTTCAATCTAAAGTCTCTCAGGGTATTTAAAAATCAGGACACCTGTCACTGTTGCTTTATATTCTGCCAGGACATGGCTGAGCACCTGATGCATTTCAGTGTCAAATGAAATCAAAGCTTGCATGACGCTGACATTTATTGGGGATCTACACATGCTGGTGATATTTCATTTCATCTTCCAAATAATCCTGTGAGGCAACCATAACAGAGCTGGTTTCTGTAATTATTCATCTGTTTTATGAGAGGTATTCATTGAGAGCTTCTGGGTATCTACTGATTAATAAAAGATGTGTAGATGAGATGTCTCTGTTTTTTTTGTGGTTCGTGTTCTACACTTGTTTGTATTCTTAAGGATGGGTGAATAAACCCATTAATGAGCTCACATATCTCATTCTTTTTAAAATCAGAAATAATTTAATTGCATCTCAAATTCCTTTCATGAAACAGCTGTCTAAGTCCTCCTTACTGAATCAAGAATTACTTTCTAAATAGTCATTCCAAATCCATCCTCCATAATTTAGTTAACTCAGGTCTCCAAGATAGGAATACATAGCAATGATAGATAGCATCAACTCTGAATTTCTGTTCTAGGTTTTGTGAGACTTCTGTTAATAATAGATAGACAGACTCCGGGTGACTAGTTACATAAATTGTGGCACACTGATACCGTTTACTAAAGTACAATCATTTGTAAAAGAAGTTTCTGGAGAATGTTGAGTGATCAAGGAAGTGGTCACCACATTTTATTTAATTGAAAAGGCTAGACATGAAATTTACATCCCAAGAAGATCCTGATCGGTAGGAGGGTGGGGGAAAGGGGATAAAAATGCAGATTTTCTAAAGTGCTATTGGCCAGAAGATGGCCCAAAAATTCAATAATTCCTTTTTTAATGTGCTTTTTTCAAGGTACACATTGACTGATAAATGCCTTTTGGTTTTAGGGAAAAATCCACATGTCTGTGAACTGAGGAAGGGAGGTTTCAGGAAGAGTTCAAGTTCTTTCTCTTTGTTTACCAGGTGGTAAAGACATAGGTGGGTCAGCGCATGAGCAGGAATCACACCCCGCTTGTCCCAGAAACAGGATGTTAACAGAAGGAATGACTAGTAAGAAGAAGAAATGAAAGAATGAATGAGAGACTGACAAACCTGTACTGGGTCCACTGCTCTGCATCACGTTTTTAGGTGTTTTCCCTTAGACTCTATTTTCCTTGCTGTATGAGTGGTAAGAAATAAGGAGATAAAATATGTGTGTGGGCTTAAGGGAAGAAGGCAGAGAAGGAAGAGAGTGTCCCCTATAGGTCTGTTGGAGAGCAGGCGGCAGTGCTCTAGGGCATTTCAAGCACCCACGTCATAAAAAAGTGAGAGAACCCCAAGAAAATTCTAGCCCAAGAGAAAGCGAGTCATCATGCCCCAAGCTATAACCCAATAAATTTCCTTGCTCTTGACCCATATAGAGCAGCACTCCTCCTTCCTTGGAAAAGAGGAGGAGTTCAGGGTAAAGTCCATTAAAACATGAGCAAACAATAAAGTTGAGATCCCCGTCTTTGCCTAAGCTGTAACCTTGGTCTAGAATGCTTCTTCTCTTTATCAGCATTGCTCACTCTCTTGTCAACTTCAAGCTCTTGCTCAAACGGCCCCTTCTCACAAAGGTCTGCCCTGACCCACCTATTTAAAACAGCACCCCTTCCCCAGCCCAGAAACTCCCCCCCCACCAAAGTACTTACAACTTCTAACATTCTATACAATATCCTCATTTATTTGATCATCCTTTCTTACTGTCTCCCCGTTTGGGATAAAAGCTCCTTGACCAGAGATGTTTCTTCTGATGCGTTCACTGCTGTATCTCAAGTGCCTAGGATCATGGTTGGCATCTAAGGGGTGCTCGATAAATATTTGCTGAATAAACGAGTGATTATTCCTGCTAGGGGGATTATGATGATTTTTATTTTCAGCTTTCCATTTCTGAGGTTTGCCCATATACTTACCATGTGCATCTGCTAATATCATAAGCACAGAAAATGATTAAACACAAGGTAGGACTTACAGTAAAAACTGCTTGAAGGTTATTAAGCTTCTCTATTTCCTTGGGCATCCCATTACTGCCCCAACGAATTAGGTAATTCTCACTGGTGAAGGAAAAAAAGAAATTATCCTTAATGAAGGGCTAACTGGCAGTGAAGCTGCCCTCGGCACAGACTTCGCAGGGTACAAGGCCCCAAAAAGCTCTGCTGAATTTATCAGGCAAGTGCGGATGTCACACCCAAGGGGCGGCTCCCTGGTTTCCCGGCTTTGGAGAAGTGAGCATGCCGCAGCCCAGCTCCGTGAGGCACACCCAGGGTGGACCCCAGATGAGCACGACTCGGGAAGGGCACACACACAGCGGATTCTACCAGATTCCGCCTGGCATCTTTCTTCTACCTCCAATTCTTTGTATAAGAGTTTCAGCTTTGCTGAATCAGGAATATGATTTTAAAATAATCACTGCAAATCCATCCCCTGGAATCCACTCCACCACACTCAGATAAAATTGCTATTATGGAAATAAACAATTTGTCAGTAACTACTTTTAACCATCTGCTCAAAAATCAATCTGTTTTCTTAGCTGCTCAGCTAAGTAGTAGCGTGATTGTGGGTCAATGAAGCCTATTACCGTTCTCTCCAGTTTAAAAAAAAAATTTTTTTTTGTCAGACTTTATTTTTTAGAGCAGTTTTAGGTTGACAACAAAGCTGAGTGGAAGGGACAGAGAGTTCCCATATATACCCGGCCTCCTGGCCCCCCACACAGCCTCACCCACTATCAGCATCCCCCAGCACAATGGTACATTTGTTACAAGTGAAGAACCTACACTGTTATCTCATTACCCCCCAGAGTCCCTAGTTTACCTTAGGGTTCACTCTCGGCGCTTGCCTTCTAGTCATCTGGACAAATGTAGGATGACACACATCCATCATTACGAAATCATACAGAGTAGTTTCACTGCCCTAAAATCCTCTGTGCTCTGCTGACACATTCTTCCCTCACCCTGCCCCCAATGGTCTTTTGAACCCTTTGTCCCTGTCTCCATGTTCTGATGAGTTTTATGTGATTCTAAGACCCAGAGAGTACACAAACTGTCACTGCACTGTTCCCACAAAGAAAGGCTCAGTAGTCAAAGGATTTTATTTTCTACCGCTTAGAGATCCTACCCTCTTTTCTAGCTCCCACTCTCAAACCAAGCAAAGGGCTCCTCAGGTGGGTGGCACGTGAGGGCTGGGCATTTCTGCAGGGTCAACAGCAGATGGCCTGGGACTCCACTACCTGATGAAGGTCGACTGGTCCGGGTCATAGAGGGCCATGAACAACTCGGCGTCTTCCCCAATGTTGCAGACAAAGTTCTTGAAGTTCACATAGAGGCCGTAGGTGTGGACAGCACTGAAGACAGACTGGCCCCGCAAGTCCAGGTTCTGAAGAACTGACTGAATGCAGAGGAAAAGAGAGAAAAGCCTCTTGGTTTCAGCGAATGGGGTATAATGGCAAAGTCACAGGCCAGCAAATGGGGAATAATGGCAAAGTCACAGGCCAGCAAATGGGGGACAAGTATAATTGCCACTTGAGGGGAGAAGCACCAACTGAGAAGGAAGTATATGTACGTGGCCAGATGATCAAGTGAGCAAAATACAATCACTATGATTCGGATGATCAAGACCGTCCTGCTCATGGGGCGCCTGGGTGGCTCAGTTGGTTAAGCATCCGACTCCTGATTTCGGCTCAGGTCATGATCTCGGGGTTGTGAGATCGAGGCCCATGTCAGGCTCCCCACTCAGCGGGGAGTCTGCTTGAGATTCTCTCTCTCTCTCTCTCTCTCTCTCTCTCTCCCCCCCTCCCACCCCCGTGCACATACTCTCTCTCTCGCTCTCCCACTTTCTCAAATAAGTAAATAAATCCTAAAAAAAAAAAAAAAAAAAAAAAGATTGTCTTGTTCAGGGCCTTGAGCCCAGCAAATTCAGTTAAGTGCTGTCTAAAGATGACAACTCATGGCTTAGCAGCTTCAAGAATTTATTCTCTCTCACAACGGCTTCTGAATGAACCTCAGAGGCACAAAAACCATGATCCATTATTCCTCTTTTTTGAGAACAGTTATAACTGCAAACAAGAGATTCCACTGGAAAGGCTTCACTCTCAAGTGTGGTTAGCCACTGGATCCAGGAACACAATTAAATATTATCACAACTGTACCAAAGAAACAAAACTACAAACTAAATAAACAGAAGCCTTTACTCATTAGAACAAAAAGATTGGAAGGCTATATACCAAAATATCAATACAGCTGAGTCTGCGCCATCATACTATGGGGGATCTTTCTTGTTCTTTCTTTGTACTTTTCTAATTTTTATTTAATGTCTAATTGTTACTTTCAAAACCTATCAAATGCTTTATTTTTAAATACTATTTTATTTAATTTGGAAATTGTATTACATATACCAAATACAGAAGGTTACACAGTACAAAGGCTCCCTCCCACCCAGTTCTCCTTCCTAGAGGCAACGATTAATTATCAATTTCTTGCCTATCTTTTCTGAGTTAGCCTATGCATATGCAAACACAGAGGTAAGTATATCCCTTTTTGAAACACAAAGACTAGTGTTTTGTACACACTTCTGAATCTTGTTCTTTTTCTATTAACGCATATCTTTGCAATCTTTCCGTATCAGAAAGTATACTGCTGCCTCATTTTTTTGGTTATGTTTTGCTTTTCAATGAGGCAATGAATGATTTTCTAAACATTTCTACCTCTTGTTGCCAACGACTCCCTTTCTCTCATTAAATACAAAAGCAAAAATGGAATCTCAGGGACTCAAATCTGCACACTGGCGGAAGTGTACCTTTTCTTCCTGGATCTTTTCCTCAATCCTTTTTGAGGCCATTTCATGGGCCTTGAAAAGGGCAATGGTGCTGGTTTCATCTGGGTCCAAAATATTCCCGTTGTCATCTCTCACGACCAGATCTAACCCAAGCATTCTAGAAAGAAAGGAGTGATCAGCGAGTTCTCCTCATTAAGAACATACCCTTTCCTGATGAGTCCCCAGGAAAGAACCCAGAGAACTTCTTCTAAGCCTTTCATGGTTAGAAAGTTGGGTGCTGGACCAGTCAAGTTAAGAACAGCTCCTTCACTTCTCTCTTTTTGATTTCTGCCTCCTTTCCACATAACTTATGGTAAGTAAGTTATGAAAACTTATGGTAATGTTAACCAAACTCAGATGATATGCAAAGTAATTTATTCCACAGAACCTCCACAGGAAAGGCAAAACTGGCACCCCTTCTGACCAGATTCCTCTGACCAATGCCTTTTCCCCTGATCTCCTATTGTTTGGCATAAGAACAATGGTAGACCAAATATCCAGGGGCTCTGCCTGCTTTCCTTGAAAGTTCAATGTTGAGGACAGCCCTTAATTCAAGACTGTCTTCAAGGTGATCAGTGAAGTGGGTCCTGGCTGGTGGAATCTCATAACCTGTCTCATGGCATGGGCTCTGCTATCACTTAGATCAGGATTTGACTCTTGCCTTGAATACATGCTAGCAAGAGGACTCCAGGTAATTTACTTAATTTTGCAAAGCCCTGACTTCCTCATCTGTAAATATTCCCTACCCTTCAGGGTTGCTGCAAGAATTTAATGAGATAACATGTAAAGCACGTAACGCAGTATCTAGTATATAGTACACTCTCCATACATGGCAGATCTTATTGCAGCAACCGGCACAAGAACACGCCTGGCTGTGTTAAGTTGTAGCTCTGAGCGTTACACAGGAGAAGAGCCATATGGTCTATGCAGGGCACAATCCCTACCCAGGCTCTTATGCCCAATGTGCACAAAGAAGTAGAAAAAAAGATGTGCTTCATTCCAAGACGTTGGGGACTGTGGTGGAAACAGGATACTTCTATCTGAATGCCCAGCGTACATTCCAGGAACCAGCAACTTGGGAGCAGGGATGTCCAAACAGCGAGAAAGCGGAGGGATAATGGTGAAATGTGCCAAGTCTTTGGGAAAAAAGCAAAAATGTCTAATTACCCTCCCCTCCCTGTTTTATAGCATCTCCATCAAGGAGATTACATCTGGCAGGTTCCTTTCCATGGCAGCCAGACCCACAGGCCACCCAGACGCAGGAGCTATGGGTCTTACTGACAGCTCAGACATTGAGCACTGATACACTGACGAAGTAGTTTCATTTCTTGAGCTGCTTCTAAAGGCTGGAGTAGGACAGCAGCTGTGTCTGACTGTTTGTGGGACATTAACATCCTATGCTGAAGATCAGAGTCCTCTAGGCCCATGTCATACTGTGACAAGACTCAAAAATACAGGGGTAGCACAGGTGCAAGGAGGGACCTGACTCAGCCCACCACAGCTGTTTGTGAAGAAATGCCCTAGCACATGACTAGCAATATAACCCCCTGTGGTTACAGTCCTATGAATGGACAAGTGACAAGGGAGGGAACAGTTCATTCTTAACCGTAGGAAGGGAGCATTAAACATGGAATCCTAAGTTTGGGCTTCAAATTTCGACTTCCCCACTTATGATCTCTCAAAATCTCCACATAGGAGATTTTGAATAATGGTTGAATCTGAATCCTGTATGCTATATTCACTCCAGCTACTTCTGAATACAGTTGTCAGAGTCTGTAACATTTAAGTGAGTAGGATAATGAGCTGTATTTTTACAGGTGTCAGAAGTATATTCAAGAGTCCTGAGGCAAAGGCGGAAGGGGGAAAAAAACACATATGCACAACTTGAAGGTATTTAGAAAACCAAAGGAAATGTCAAACGGATCATCAACAAAACTGAGCAACCAACCCAGTCTTTTAAAAAAGGAGCTGGTCAGGAGGGATGCATCCCAGGCCACCATTAACTGATGAATTGGCTGATTTCTCACTTTCCGAAGGGCAGTGATGTCTAGAACCTATGTATCTGCCTGAGCTAATCAGAAGATTAACAAAGTGATTAACTCTTTAGAGGTTACTGGAGACGTAATCAACAGGCTCTTCTTGTAAATTTGGTTTCCATACACCTACACACCATGGTCCCAGTTAGGGAACATGGAGAGAAAGACAGAGAATGAGTCTGATGCTGATTTAAAATCCACTGTCGGAATAAAAACCGAGATCGATGCAGGCCTCAGAAAATGTGCCTTCCGATGCGCTGTCCCTTCCAGTCTTGTTTGACAGCGAAGTCCCATCTTCCCTGATCACGTCATCTCCTTGACACAGTAATCCCGCACAAGGTGTGGCTTATGCAAGGGACTGCCAAATCTTTCCAACAAAGTTAAATGTTTCCCAATGCAAAAAGAGAGCAGTAAGTATCATTCTTTGACAACTCTAAGGTCAAAAGCTGATGGCGAGCCACGTCCTTAGCATGAACGTGCCCATCTCTTTCCAAGTTCTCGCTGAAATCATCCCTGGTTTACCTGTTCCCATGATCAATTTTGGCTGTGACCTTTTTCTTGAGCTCTGCCAGTTCGTCCTTGGGGAGGGTTCCAGACAGGATCTGGGACCGCCACTCGATCAAGCTGTACGTCATCTGCTGCAGCTGGTGGAAGAGTATGGCCTTGTTGTTCTAGGACGGGAAAATGAGGTGGAGGAAAGAACAGAAAATAAAGGTGTGATGGAGGAAGGCGGCATCTTTTGACTTGACCCTTACTTTCTAAGGTGTTACTTAAGCAATCAATTTTGCCATATAGTAAGCGGTGCACTTCAAAGGGATTTTTTCTTTTTTAAATAGGGATGGCTTTGCTCTAGGCCACTCCCATTCCATCTTCGATTCCAACTTTAGAATCAGAGAAGCCATTGTAGGATGGATGGTTATACCTGATTCATCAGTATATCAAACTGTCCATGTTCAACCCGTGGCCCTACTCTGTTTTAAACCCTCCAGAGATTTCCTCTGTCCTCTAGACACAGGAAATCACATTGTAAACCCCTTCCTATCTTGGGTCCTGCCCACATTCCCAGCTGCATTTTACACCAATCCCTACTTCGAAAATCTACACTCCTTCCATGCAAAAGCTATGTCCATTTCTCCTGAGTGCTCCAGACCTTCTCAATATGGTACTTCCTCTCCCTAGAACCACTTCTCTCCTCTTTTCCCAAACTTACCCCCATTTCACACCTCCTCACATACTACAACCTCCGCCAATTGCTAATTCTTACTTCTTTGGTCTCAACTTAGAAGTTTTTTGCTCGAAACCCTAACTGTGGGCTGCTATCCCTCCCACTGCTCCTGGAATTTACTCCCATCCCGGCACTCAGAACCCAGACCATCCTCGCCCGTGTGACTCTCTTCCTAGACATTAAGGTTCTACAGGATAGGATGAGGAGCTTGCTCATATTTGTATCCCTAGGAGCTGGTACGGATGTACTACATGTGTGAATTATGGTTGAAGAAAGAACTATAATTTCAGAGATAAAGGATAATAGAAAATAAAATGGAGAATATTGTTTTAAGGTCCTCATAAAGCTGTTAGACCATCCTGGAAGTCGTCGGACCTACAATAATTAAACCATTATTCTGGGCTTCACTGAGAACTTCTATACATGAACCAAACTAACTTATGACCAACTAATTATACAGACTTCTATCATTTTTAAGAGTCAAATATCTGATGTCCAAGCCATTATGACCTCGGTTTTATCTAAATGATTAATGTACAGATATATATTATATCTCTATATAAATATAAATAATGATCTATTATAAGTAATAGATCTTATCACTAACATATACAACATTGTTTACATAAATAACATATATCTAATCATTTTATACACACAAGATAATTTAAAATTGTGAAAAGTGCCAGAAGGAAAATAAATGGGGGCAGTATGATCGGGTGTACATGGGGGAAGGAAAACACTTGAGATAAAGTCATCAAGAAAAACCGGTTTGTGTATCACTTTTGAAACATGCTTTTTTAAAAATAAAAACCTACACAATTCCACTCACCCCTTAAATACTACGAGATCACTTCTTTTTTATTTACAGGTGAAAAGTCATGATATATTTATATAACTATATACTTTAAAATTATAGGAAATATTATCTGCTATAAAAATAATGCAACCCCCCCCACACACACACACATACACGCCCAAAGAAATTGTGGATGGCTGTAAAGCATGTTCTTTTGTGATCTTCTTCTACAACAATCCCTGGGGCAAATTCCTGCGCAAATTATCAAGTACAATCAAGATACTGAAAATACCCAAGATACCCCTGAACAAAGAGTAAACGTGGAGCCAAGATCCCTCAGCCCAGAAGTGGGGACAGGGGGAGAGAGCAAAGATTAGCCGAGTGTGATAAAAGCTCTAAAAGAAGGTCAATGTTCTGTGAGAACACAAAGGAGAGAGTTGAAGAACTCCCTTGTATTCTCCATTAACACTACTGGATCTGAAAAATACAGACCACGAAACCTGCTTAAAATTTTGTAACTACCTACATTTTATGTGCTTAGCATTTTCTGAATTGCCTCTTTCTCATCAGCCAGTCTTTCAAAAAGCATAAAAACGGGACTTCAAAAAGTTCCATTTTTTTGTTGTTGTTTTTGTTAATAAGCAAAGGTAAAAAACCCTGTTTGGTTTTTTTGTTTTGTTTTTTTTTCATGTAATTCTGTACAAAATGTTGCCATTCCATTTTCTTTTGACCTGAAAAAGGGAGTGAGAAATTAAGCCCATAAAATTTTGCCTTTCAAAGCTGCTAGGCAGAAAGGAGATCTTTTTTCTTTCTTGCAACCAATCTGTCTACTCTTACTTAGATTTTTTTAAAGTGTTTTCTAACTTTAATGAAGATATTAGTCTTTATATTATAGTAAAAGAAAGGGGGGAGCTCAGACTCCTCTGAGAGACAGGGCTTTGTCTGTGGCACACGTTCACAAGTTCTTGGTCTCAATTATATTAGACACTATCCAAGGGAATTTAATTATTGCCTGTTCATATCAGCCTTGTTTGCCAAGATCCCCCCAAAAGAAGGATGAAGACAGCCATTCTTCTCTGATTCACTGTGCCAAGTGAATTCTGAATAGACAAGCTGGAACACACCAAAGGAAGCAATTTTGCCAATGACTTTAAGGAAATGGATTTCATTGCCACATTTCTAAAATTGTTCTAAGTGGGATGTTCTGTGCAATAGCTGGATCCAGATACTTTACGGGTTTCCGGGGAAGCACATGAGGACAGGTGAGGAGAAAATCAAGCACCCCCCACCCACAAGACCCTGAGCCAAGGACCTGAGTCTCCATCTGTCACGCCCCCCTTCCTGTCTTCTTTCCTGAATCCTACACTGCCCAAGCCTGAGAGTACCTTCTCTGTTACCATTAATCCCAACCTTTTTTGCACTAGCAGCCACTGTCACATAATTTAAGAGGGCAGGGAATTTATTTAATAATCTCTTTGTCTCTGCCAAAGTCAGCACAACCCTGGGACATAGGTGCGACTCAAAAACAAATTTTGACAGTTCAAATGTAAAATGCTACTCTGGTTTCAATTTCAGTTAGAGCTGCATGAACGAGAGAAATCTAAATATTCTCCCACCAGAGAGTAAAGGCATCCCTGCACTTGCTTAGAATTTCTCCCTCTTTTCCACTTGGAGAGCTCAAAGGTCTCACTTTTTACATTTCCATTCTGAATGGTGCGTGCTCTCTCTAAGAATTTCTAGAGATAAAAACAAAGTCACAAGGGAAAAAAAAAAGCTTTACCTTCAGCAATGGCAAAGAGGGATACAGAAGCCCTCCAATGAGTACTGTAGAAATTCTAGAGACCGTTGGGACAATGGCACCACCTCCCTGGGTGTCAGAAACCCAGATTCTATTCCTCACTTTCCCAAAGAATGCAGAAGACAGGCAAAAGACTTTTCTCTGGTCCTCCCCATCTCCTCTATCCACCAACCTTTCCTCTTGCATGCAGGAGGCAAAAGGGCTGGACACCAACTACAGGCACTTGGTCTCTATCTCTCATTCTCTCATTAACTTGCTAAATGACTTTGGGCAAATCATTCCCTCTGAGATTCGCCCATCTGTAAAACAAAGGGACTGGGTCTGAGACCTTAAACTTAATTACTCCCGCAAGCAACTTCCTGATTCACTGTATCTGATTCTGACCTTGTCCCTCCCGACGTGCTCACAGGCTCCAGAGGCTCCATATCAAATTTCACCTGTGCAGAGCTCTCTGCAAGGAGTCTCCTGTCCTTCTCTAACTCCTGGGGTCCGAAGTGGCATCCTGGTTCCTGTGTGTCCTCACGCTGCACCGCCCCCGCACTCTGGGGGAAAGGGAGTCTGCATGGCCCCTTGACACCCCTCCTCTCCATCCGAGTGCCTCTTCTCTTCGCCACAAAGAGGCTTTGCCTGACTAGCAAAGGCTTCATTTTTGAAGAAAAGATGCCAGTAAGACAACTTTTGCCTCAGGAAGTAGCGCAAGAAATCCCGAGAGGCAGGCAACCAAGACAGGGTAAAACAAAACTGGAAAGATACCCAAAGCGTGTCCCCCCTGCCCCATCCTGGTTGCGCACCCATCTCATCCTGTCTCTCACGAGAGAGCCAGGCCCAAGCCTTGCCCACTCACAGATGGAATGCCCTGACAACAAGACTAAGTTTGCTATGGGAATTTTCTATCCCTGGTAATAAGCAGTCAGACGCTGGTTTCCAACCATGAGACCAGCTTAATTACACTTCAGAGCATATGCTCCAGCAGCCAGTAATAACCACCAGTTTCAAAAAAGATTAGACTTGAGTAGCTTTAATCTGCGCGGATATGCAAGGATGAGAAGAAAGGCAATCAATCCACTGTGTCTGGCAAATTCTCTACCCGCACCTCAGTTATGGGCACTTTCTCCCCTCCAGATTTTTTATACAACTACAGACTAGCTCAAGGTTTCATTGTACTGGCGAATTTTAAATGAGAGGACATCAGGGAAGCCTGGGTGGCTGAGTCGGTTGAGCGTCCAACCCTTGGCTTTAGCTCAGGTCATGATCACAGGGTCATGGGACTGAGCCCTGCATGGGGCTCCCTGCTCAACACGGAGTCTGCTTGGGATTCTGTTTCTCCCTACGCCCCTCCCCTACTCACATGCATGTGCTCTCTAATAAATACATCTCTTTTTTTTTAAGATTTTATTTATTTATTTGACAGAGAGAGACAAAGTTAGAGAAGGAACACAAGCAGGGGGAGTGGAAGAGGGAGAAGCAGGCTTCCCACTGAGCAGGGAGCCTGATGTGGGGCTCGATCCCAGGACCCCAGCATTGTGACCTGAGCTGAAGGCAGACGATTAACAACTGAGCGCCCCATAAATACATCATTTTTAAAAAATAAATAAATGAGAGGAGATCAGTCCATTCTACGAACTACATTTTAGCAATTATGTTCACTTGATTCAGCAATACATATTAACCACCTTCCATACCAGGCTTATCTTGTATCTCTTTTCTGTAAGGAAAAAGGATTAGATTTAGTCTCCCAAAATTATATGAACAACACAGCCTGGCTGGCCAAAACTCACTGAACCATTTCTCCAATTGGAAGGTGGGGAAGAGCATTGAGTTAAATCTCAGGGTGAGAAGTTATAGAGTATGTTTAACATCACCAAATACCTCAGAATTTCCAGGACAGTCCATCTTTCAGAAATGTTCCTCCTTCTGTCCCCACAAATACACTCTAACTCTTCAGTTTTCAAGTCCTGATAGTTGGCTGAGAAAATATAATGTGGGATGTGGACTCGTGCATATTCAAAAAGTGTAGCTGGGTTGTTAGTGAGAAGGGAAATATGGATATTACATCGGGCCAATCATGTCTAAATCAATGCAGAGGCATCCGCCCCTCCAGCTGGCGGAACTCACGTGGAACAAGGGAGATGTGCTGCTAGAAAGGAAAGAAGGCCAGAGTTCAGCTCACTGGATCTACTTTCCCAGGCTGGGGAGGACAAATGATCCTGAGAGGCAGCAGAGAATAACGGGCAGAGTACTTATAAACCACAGACCTACGGCAGTTACATTCACACAGAGCTGGGAGGGAGCCCACCCATCGGCCCCAAGCTGGAGGGCACACCCTAAAACAACTTTGGGGCAGAACTCCACTGTGCAATCTAGTTCTTCTAACACTTCCTACCATTAGTGAGCTCTTACATGAAGCAGTGCTGTAAGGGACAGTCAGGGGCCGTCACAACTTGATGACAAAGCGCCAGGCACTGTCCTGGAAGTTTTATCCAGATTATCCAACTGAATCCTTACAGCAAATGTGCAGGGCATATATAATATACAGTTACCGTTTTAGGTGAAAGTACAACTTAGGGGTCAAAGGATTTGTCTCAGGCTGCAGAATCAGCTTAGAGGCATACCCTGGACCCAAATCCCTGCCTTCAGGATCTGAGTTCTTTCTGTTTTAGTTTGTTTGTTTGCAGTAACTATTATTGGGTTTGCTACTTTTTTCTGAATATAAAAGTACATACCAAGTAAGGGAGCAAGCCAGACTTTAAAAACCTGCCGCCTGTCTGACCCCAGTGTCCACAGTCTCATCGTTTTACTAAGGCGACCACCTCCTCATTCATAATGTTTCCCCCTTTCTGGATCAACCACTGAAAACACACCCACTAAACAGGCTCCAACTGAGGAAGAGCAGTATAGACAAAGACAGAAACTGCTGTGAATTTGCACTCTGCATTGGCAGGCTTCCCTTTTGCTGGAATGATCCATGCCTCCCGGACTTGAGCCTAAACCAAGGAGACTTGCTATCTGCGGTAAGAAACACTTAGCCTGCTTACTGAACGCTCAAGGCCACTCCGCCTAAGATGATAACACAAGGCAAAGGAAGTGGCCTTGGATGGGGGGCAGGGGGCACACACAAGGGAGCTTCAGAGACTCCGAGTTGGGTCAGAGGGACGCCAAGTCAAGGCTGCCCAGAGGGAGGACGTCCAGAGAGGCTACTGTTTCAAGCTAAGACGGCAGCAAGAATGCCATGTGCAGAGTCCTGGATGCTCTGTCGGCCTGCACCTCTCTTCGTGCTTGCACAACCCCGTGGAGTCAAGAAGGCAGAGTTTACATCGCTTTCACACGGGGGTAGAATCCAGACAATGGAGCTAGCTAGGGCAGGGCCTGGATGAGGCACCAAGCTTCCAAATTTCTAGTCCAGTGTTTGTCTTCTACAGCCTGCTTCCTCCCAAAAGCATAAAGCCAACATCACCAAGCAAGAGTTAAATGAGACAAAATAATACTAATATAACAAAGAGGGGAAGAAGGCATATGGGGGTTGTCATCATTTCTTTTTCTGCTTTGGAGGAGTGGGTTCTCCCCTCTTCAGCATGAGGAACTCCACCCCCCTTTAAAACATATTTATGGTTATTTCACCAGGTTACAGTGTGGCTGCTAAAAATAAATCCCAGCTATCCAAATGTCCTTCCTGTCTAGAACTAGAACAATTACCTGAGTCTACGTGGCTGGGCTTACACTGGTTAGTGGATGGCATTTTCCTCTCACATAAGGTTCTGGATCTACTACATACATTTCTCATGAGCACAGACTGAAAAGGAGAGAACTAGGAAATGCGTTGTAGAGAACTGTGGAGGTTCTAAGAGGTTCTGTAGAGGTTCAGGACCCTCTACAAGGGTCCTGAAAGATATCAAACAGGGGGTGCTTGGGTGGCTCAGTCGGTTAAGCGTCTGACTCTTGATTTTGGCTCAGGTCATGATCTCAGGGTCGTGAGATCAAGCTCTGTGTGGGGCTCTGCTCAGTGCAGAGTTGCTTGAGATTCTATCTCCCTGTCCCTCTGCCCCTACCACGCACTTCCCTCTCCTTCCCCGCTTGTGTGCATGTGCATGCTCTCTCTCTCCCTCTCAAAAAAAAAAAAAAAAAAAAAGTAAAGATATCAAACAGAACACCTGGTCTCATAATCTGAGGAAGGAAAGGCATGAGAGAAACACAAGTACTGATGTAGATTAGTAAAGTGGTATTTATCTTTATGCAAACTGAAAGAACTTACAGAATCAGAAAACAAAAACACTGATAAAATCGTGTGTTGGGGGATGAAAACTACAGATTTGGGGTCCTTTTACCTTTTACCCAGTGAAGCATATTTTGAGGTTTGCTACTTTGATGCAAATTTTTTAGAAAGAAGTTCAGAAATTCTGCCTGAAGTGAAGTGTCAGTATTTTAGGAACAGGAACACAACAGAGAAAGTCATGATTAATAACGAACCCATTTTTAAGTGAATTATTTTTTTAATAAATAAGCATGTATCAAAAGCAGAAGCAGATTGCTGAGCCCTACCAACTGATTAAGATTCCCATAATGAATACCTTTTAGTCGTCTACAGCAGCTAGCAGACATTCTTAAATATTCACAATTAACACAATGATTATTTGATTAGCTGTCAAAATCAAGATGAGAAATGTGCTGCTCTCTGAGAGAAGACAGAGGTCCTCCCTCCCTCCCTTCATCCCTCTCTCCCTCCTTCCTTCCTTCCTACCCACCCATTTCTGCTATTAAATAGTGAAATGCCCACATAGGAAATCTTCACCCTGCGCTTACCCACACCTAACTACTAAGGGATTTTGGAAGCCTAAATTCACAAATCAGGCTTCCTCTTCCCTGGTTGACTTATTTTTCATTTCTATCCATAGTAGACAGGGAACAGTCACCTGTGAACATGTGGAAGAGAGAAATAATGAAGTGAGAACAGTTGTGTCTTAACAAGAAGAAAAGTCTGCCTCGTCCATATTCTCCACTCTCCAACATTACCGCTTTATTTATTTTTTTTATTTTTTGTTTACAATTTCTTCCTTTCTTTTTTTTAAAGATTTTATTTATTTATCTGACATGGGGGCAGGACGGGAGAGAGCAAGCACAAGCAGAGGGAGAAGCAGACTCCCCCCTGAGCGAGGAGTACCCTGGGATCATGACCAGAGTGGAAGGCAGCCGCTTTAATCAGGTATGTTCCGCAACTCACCAATTTCCAGAGAGAATGCATTAAGGAAGTTCTCTGTGTGTATATGCATTCCTCATCTATCAGACTTGTTGCATCTGCCACTAACCAATCAATTAACCAGAACCAGAGAGTGCTTTCAACAAACATACCAGATGATCGATGTAGGCCAAAGGGCTTAAAACAGCACGTCTGTCCTCATGATTTAAGAACTTACAGGTAGCTCTCTCCTCAATTACACATAAAGAGATCAAAAGATCACTTGCATTACAAGGCAGTATGCCCCAAGGGCCAGAAGATGGGCTCAGCAGTAAGTGTTCCTATGGTCCAGAAAGAAACATTATAGATTGCTGTGTTTAGAAGCTACATTATGAGTAAGAAAGAACTTGAATTAGGCCTTGAAAGATGGGCAGGCAGAGAAAAATCGTGTGCTTTTCCAACAAAGGGGTTGGTGATTTCTGCTGCTGTGATCCATCATGGGTAACAACAGCCCAGGATGGAAATGAAATCCTGCATTAACTCTTGGAAGTCATGCTAGAATGAGCTTCTGATTACTGTTTTTGGTACTAAGCGTCTAGAGGAAGGTATTCTCCATAAGTTATTAAGATTGGCTTTTGAGCGTTCAAATGAAGAATCAACACATGACTGAACAAAAACCTAGATAAACAAAGTCACATAAAGGAATGAGAATGGCTTCCAGGCCATTGGGTCTAGTCTACTCCCTTGCTGCCCTTATTCACGCATTGAATGAGAAATTATACCTTCTGCCTGGGAATTCCTGGTCAGCGGGGAAAGATGTTTACAGACGCAGGACCTAGTGATGATTACTTACTTCCAAGTCCCCGAGGAAAGAGGGAACTTGAGAAAAAGGTGTTTGTGCATTCCAGTGTCAAGGAAAGAGCTGCTGCCAGGGGACTTGGAACATTCCTGGCCTCTTGCAAGATAGCTGCCCAGGTGTTTTCACTCTGATAATATTAAAGGCCAGATCTACCTTTTCCTAATTGCAAACCTACATGCAACTTGTGATTATGGTTTATCATGGAGGGAACGTGCTGGTTCCTGTGTCATTTTCCACTGGGCTGGTGTATCTTATTCGCATTCTGCGGTCCAACCATTGTTGCAAGACATGGTACTTTGAGCTGGCCTTGAAAAGAAAGACTCTTCAGACCACCGCTTGGTACCACTCAAGTTGCAGAGTCTGTAAGACACACTGGTGAAAGTAAAGAATGCTGCCCTCCTGGGAGTCCTCATGTGGCTGGGCAGTGAAACGCTGACAAATTCCTATTCACTGGGAGACACGTCGAGGCTAAGAGCCTGTCCCGATGTTTCTTCCACCATCCCATGTCATCAATGACCCTACTCCAGGACAATGAGAATCCGCTGGTTATCAGCCCTTGTACGGTCCAGTTAACATGCACCCTACTCCATGCAGAGAGCTAACGTGTTGCTGACACCTTGCAGCAGAACCGACAGGCCAAGAGCCCAGAAACAATGGACCAGCTTCAAGACCCGGGGGAAAGCTCACCACATAGAGTTTGCGCCAGATGACAGCCCATTCTCGAAGCGTCGACGTGAGCTCCTGCACCAGCGGGAGCTCCCCAGGAATCACGGTCTCGTGCTGCCTAAAGAGAACCAGACAGATGCTCACTTTACTCTGAGCTGATCATCACTATTTTTCTTGACAGGGGTCATACTCCCCACAACACAAAGATGGGCGTGAGGCTGATTCGCCTGGAAATAAAATGTACCCACTGTGGGGAAATTCGTTGAGCAAACTTTATCACACCTAAGCCTGTGAGAAAAGAAGGGGCTTACCAACACAACTCTCAAAATAAACCACTTCTGCAATGGAACAAAGGCGTTGGCCCAGCCTGGACCACCCCATTTCACATCTCTATAGGAGCAATTCGCTGAGCCAGGCCAGCTTCAGTGACTCCCGGGGAAGGAAGCCCAAATCCAGTATTTTCGCTGGTTCTGCCAAGCGGCCATTTCGTTGGGGAGGGTGGGTGGAGAAGTGTGCAAGGCACGAGGGGCGTGGGGCTGGGAATCTCACACAGGACCTGCTGGTGGGGACTGAGGCTCTGCACTCTTACGGAACGGGGCTCGATTTTCTTCTCATCTGCTGCCTCACTGCATTGAAAATGTGTATATACCATACACATCAATGACTCAAGGAGACTCACAACAAGGCAGGCGCAACATTTATTCACATCAATCCTCTGGTATTTTTATGATGAGCAAAAGGACAGTAAGAGCAAGCGAACAAATGGAAAAGAGAGGTAGGACTGTCAGACTTAAATAAGACTACAAGATGCCCAGTTAAGTTTGCATTTCAGATAGATTAAAATAATTTCTTAGTGGAAGTATGACTCATGAAATACGTGGGACCTATTTACTGTAAACAATTACCTGTGGTTATCTGGATTTCAAATTTAACTGGGCACCCTGCATTCTTACCCGGCAACCCTGGTTAGTGGGGATACACCTCCCTCTGTGCCTTTCCGCCAACGTGGCTTCAGCTAGTGACAATGGAGGCAGCCCAGGAATGGCCCACTGGAAAGAAGATTCTCCAGGAGGGAAGGACACCTGGTTTTCAGTCTTGGTTCTGCCCCTGAAGAGCTGTGTGAACTTGGGCATGTCTCCATCTCTCGGCTATAAAATGCAGGTGCAGAACTTAAAACTGACAATGTTTTGGGGGCGCCTGGGTGGCTCAGTTGGTTAAGCGACTGCCTTCGGCTCAGGTCATGATCCTGGAGGCCCGGGATCGAGTCCCACATCGGGCTCCCTGCTCAGCGGGGAGTCTGCTTCTCCCTCTGACCCTCTTCCCTCTCGTGCTCTCTATCTCTCATTCTCTCTCTCTCAAATAAATAAAATCTTTAAAAAAAAAAAAAAACTGACAATGTTCTTTTGCTGATTTGAGTCTGCATGACTCTGACCCATTCTCCTCTCTATCAACCCTGGGAATCCAGTCCTGCTCCGGGCTCTCCTTCCCTCCTTCACTCTCCTGCCCTTGGGCTCACCAACCCAGCAGCCTCTCTCTCTCCTGCCTCTGGCTGAGTTTCTTACTCCTCCTCAGTCTCCATAGAGGCAGTACTTTTCAGGACAACTGGTAAGGTGGATGAGAAATTAGAATATCCAAAACTTAATGGATTTGATCTGCAGAGCATGATCACACACATTCTTTCATAATTTCACATTAAACTCATGGCCAACACAGGGCCAGATTTCTTTCCTCCAATTTGTACGGGCAAAGCCCAAGGTGCAAGAAGGCTAACCGACTTGTCTAAGCTTCAGAGCTGATTACTGCAGGATGCAGCCTGCTCATCTCTCTCTCACGGTTGCCACACTGGGGGCTCTCGGAGATCTTACCAGCGAGAGTGCCCCACATTTATGTGTACGTGCACACACTCAGTGAGCAGGTAGCACAAGAGGAAGGCGAAGGCCCTCCATTCATTCATTGTCTGTCTTTACTATCCCGGGGAAGGGTGCCAGAGAGGAGCAATTACAAAAGAAGGACTCATCTCAGGAAAAAGTTTGTATTCACTTCTCTCGCCCGTGAGAAGTGCAACTGACAAGATGAGAGCAATAATGTACACGAGAAACTCTTTAATGATAACTTGACACGTTCACCATTTTTGAGGGGTCCTTCCGGGACTGGAACTTACCCTCGGTCTTCCACGGTTGCCTCCTTCAAATGGATGTACGTTTCAGGGAAAATCCCCTACAGAGAGAAGAACATCGGTTATACGGCCATAAAAACCACAGGGCAAAGAGCACAACTGGCACCGGGAATGAACAAGGCGGAGGCAGGATACCGGGAGCATCGCTAGAGTGTGCGCTCAGGCTTGCAGGCCCGACCACACTGACTGTGCCTCCATGAAAGCATGGCTGGGAAGACAGAAGTTAAGATCGGGGTTCACAGAGCACGGGAGAAGCGCTTCGGAAGTGGACAAACATGTCCAGCTCCTAAAACGCTCCAGATCCTAATGCCAGGAGCTGCTGCCCTGAAAGGGTTTCGCATAATTAGTGACATGGAAGGCTATGTACTTAGTGGCCCATAAAATTATACTGATTTTCCGAAACAATCCCTCCCCAGCACTTTCACTTAAACCAAATGTGCCCCAAATCACTTAGTACTAGTTATATGGTTATTTTTAGCCCTTCCCAGTCTCAAATTGCTCTCCATTCTATGCTCTTAAGAGGCGATTCTACATCACTGTTGAGACGCTGCCCATGGGAAAACTAAGGCTCCATAAGGGCCTAAGAGAAAGACTGGAAACTGGTCGGTAGAAACTGAAGAAGTGAAGATCAGCTTGAACCAATAGAAAGCAAGTCATGAATCTGAGTTTTCCTAAATGCTAACGGCTTCTGTTGTTTAACTGTGTGATACGCTCATCGATAAATAGAGAAACTGCCATCTGGAAAAGGCACTGCTGTTCTTTGTTTTAGGGTACTTTGCATGCCAGACCAACAGAGGTAGAAGAGCCTATTTACCACAGCACCACTGGTTCAACTGCTGCTAGCCCTGCACCTGTGGAGGTCAGTGTGACCCTGTAGACATTCTCTGTCGGGGCTGGCTGACCATAAAGGAGGGAAAGGAAGATCTTCCTACCTAGGGGACTGGGTCAAAGATGTGTGTGTACCCAGTGATCCTTAATCCATTCAGAGACAGAAAACTAGTTAATTCCCACTGGGGTCAGTCTTGTGTCTGGCTTCGTGTGCTATATTTATCTAATACTCTTCTTTCTCCATCTTAGCCCTTCACCAATAAAACAGGAAACAGTAAGAACATCTGAGATTGAGCTGCTCCCAGCCTTGGTGATGACAGGGTAGATCCTGCCACTGCCTGAGTCAAAAGCAAAATGACCATCCTTTCCTGCCAGGCAGGAAGAACCAAAAAAAAAAGGGGGGGTAGACATGGGGTGTATAAGTAAGAAAGTACTATGCTGATCTGTTATTGATAAGACCCAGAACACACAGAGAGGCAAGGTGACACCGACCTCTTTCATTACAGGGGCAGGATTCAAAGTGATTTTGGAAAACTGATCAAATAATTAAACAAAAATTCAATGTACTCATAATCCCTGTTGAGCCTAATTTCTGGTGTTCTGAAGCTCCAGATCTGTCCTTAGGGTGTTTAAGGAACTTTGGGTGTTTCTTCCTTCTGCTAAGCTGAGGTAAATGTCTTGTTGACTGCCATCTGGGTGGAGAACCAGACTTGATCATCCAGAACTCACCTAGAGGGCATGATGCTAAGTGAAATGATCCAGGCACAGAAAAACAAATACTGTTAGGATTCCACTTGTAGGAGGGATCTAGAGTACTCAAATCCATAGAGACAGAAAGTAGAATAGGGGTTGCCAGGGGTGGGGGAGGAATGGACACTTGGTAAATGATGAACCACTCAAAGCAGTAGTTATAAGAAGCATTTGAAACATAAACAATGTCTTATGTTGTAACACCCAAGCAGATTACAAGCAGATAATTTATACTGAATGTTCAGACATGATGACTTTCATTTTAAGAGAATATTTATTTTGTGGCATTACCTCCCTGTTATTTGTAGGCACCATCCTTCCATGATAACATATGTCCACTTACATCCATTTAATTGCTCTAGTAAATCTGAGCCTTGTAGAATTTTCCTATGCCATTTGACACACAGAAAGGCAGGATAAACCTGAGGGATAGATTACTAATTTATAGTTTATCTCAATTTTGATTTTCCTTTCTCAATGCAACCCACTCACTTGAGGGGAAAAAAAAATCAACTAATGATTATTCTAGATATTGCCCTTATCCACACTTCCACAATCCTGCCAAGATCAATAATCAATTTCTGCAAAGCTCCTGGCTTCTTCAATTCGCAAAACCACTAGCTCATTTTATCACCACTCTAAATGACTAGGTCGGCTGATAAATGACACCAAAAATTTCCATTAAAATAATAGGCCTTTCAAATAGCTCCTCCCCTAAAGACCGGCAAACACAGGGTAACAGCATTAGGAGAGGATTTCAAATAGGCTGGATCTCTTAATGAAAGGGTGTCAAAGCTGAACATAATTCATGATGACTGAATTTGAATTCCCTTGATGTTTCCTGGAGCTCTCCACCAGGAAGATATTTCAACTTAAAAATCAACAACTAAATGCACCATCCTTGTTTGTGCTATCATTTCATTGAATTACAAAGTTGAATTATCAAGAACTAAAAGAAGTTCTTCCTGAAATAATTCTTCTTATGGGTGAGATTTAAAGTTTAAATAAGGGTTTTTAAGAAAATGAAAACAAACGAAAACAAAATTAAAAACACACCCAGAACCTGTCATTTAGACCCTAGTGGAGCATGCTACTTCCTTTTCAAAGCCAACAACAAGGCTATAAGCTGGATAGATCTATTAGATCACAGGATGCCTTACAAACCGAGGCCTTCTATGTACAAAAAGGATCCTTACATACTGTAGCTCTCTGAAAGGAAAAAGTGTGGCGGGGGACCTTGTTCCAACATGATTCACAATCACCAGTTAAAAATCAAGAATTGTGTTTGTTAAGTTCGTGTGATCTTATCTGAGAATGGGGTTTTGTTCATTTTTTTTAAGTTGACATGTTTTTTTAGCAGACTGAGAAGTGGCATAAGTCTTCCTGCTCTTTAATAAATTCAGAACTTCAAAATGGTTAATTCCAATGACACTTCAAAATAAGTATCATTTCTATAATTATGAATAAAATAAACAAAGATAGGGCTAAATCCAAACCAAGAAGCAGGAGTATCTATAAACCACATACAAGGATCCTAAAAGAAAGGAAGGCTTTTGTCTTACTATGCTCTCATTCATGCCAGAATGTCCCCGTCTTCGGTCCCTATTTGAAGGCCTGGAGAAACTAAAGTTAGCAAGAGATTAAATCAAAGTAATTAAGTTGGAAATGAAAAGAGGTGGGAAAACAGAGGAACTGAACTGTGGGCAGAAAAATTCAGCATCAGGATTTGGGGAGGGATAAAAGGACCAAAATTGTGGGAGGTGATCCTCACCTGACAAGCAAACACCCCTTTATTTTGGAGGAGTATTAAATTGTCAACGTTAACAAATGGTGTGTGTGGACACGTAAATGTGCAAATAGTGACTTCAGAGCCAAATATATAGAAAGCTTGATCCAAATAGCACTGGTTTCTCATGACTACAACCTTGTAGAAAGGGGTTTCTCTGGGCCCTGAGCAATTTCGAGAGTTGTGTGCTCAGATTACTTGTATCACATGCCATGCTTGCAAAATAAGAACTGTGGGTTTTTTCTTTTTTCACTCACTTCTTGATAAATTCTAAAATGTTTCTCTTACCCCTCTCCTAATTAGCTATTTTGCATGTGAACTAACTGTGAAATACAATGGTCCTACCAGGTCCTATCATCCTTGCTCTTTCAAAACAAAGTGCTGACCCGCATTGCTGCCCCAGAGTGCAGCGTCAAAGGAAAAGCCCTGACCTGACCTAAAACTAACTGAGGGGGTATTAACATAACTAATAGATTTTCTTTAGCTTGATGATGAGTAGTTTTGGCACTGGGTACAGGAACCTGCTAGGGTCAGTATTTTTCAAACTCTCCACCCATGATGAGATACATTTTCATGACAACCCAGTCCTTAACTATATACATAAAATATAATTTAAAATACATTAAAAAATATGTACCTCACACAAAAGTTTCATGAGACAGTATTTATCACGGCATTCCGTTTTCTTTTCTACTTTTCAGAATTTTGGTTTTTGGAAGATGTTGGTTAATAAGCCACAATGTTGATCTCATGATGTATTACTGGGGGTTGGCTGTGAGGTTCACAGTTTCAAAACTACTACTCTAGCTTATCTATTTTATAATAAAGAATGGACTCAAGTAGAAATGGGGAGATGCTTTAGTTCTGGGATGTTAGCACCAGAGCGAAAGGACAAAGAAGAAGCACGGGTCCCCCCTGAAGGAGACAGCCAACAATAACAATGTCACTGTGTCACCACCCTGCTGAGCTGGAGGGACAGGGAGCAGCAACAGGCCTGCAAGGGCCCTACCTGGTGTGTGAATTCACCTCTGGCCTTTCTCCTTAAGTTGGCTGGTGGGAAATATTGTCCATGGGACTTGTGCTATTTTACTTATACATTGAGGTCAGAGAATTTGTTTTCAGATCTAAAGAACAGCCATCCCAGAGAACACAAACTAGGTCTAGAGACAGCAAGGAGCAGAAAATGCGATCAGGTAGCATAACACAAAACTAGCAGACAGATTCAAATGTAAAAAGTAAAAGATAAACCATACCTTTTTAGATTTATTTTGGAGGGTATATCCTCTGTACCAACCTGCCGGGGAATAAGAAAACACAATCTTTTATGTTATCTGAGATAATATAAAGATATGAGCAATATGCATCCTCATATTCTATTGGAATATTGGGATGGCATCCAAAAGGCAATTAGCAGACTAATTAGAATATGAAAGCTTTGGTTGATTACACAATCAAAATCTAGATCTGTACTAGAGCTTTATTCTCTTCAGAGGTAAAAGATTTAAAATTCACATAGAACAACGCCTCATCTCTGCTCCTTTGGAGAAAGACAGAACAAAAAAACAAGACAGAAGGCAGCTCAACCTCTTAATACCTTAATACCTTAGACATTCAGTAAGCGTTTTTGCATGAATGAAGAGGGTCTTTCATCCATATATATACATTCTACAAGTCACCCTATACTACTAAAATAAATACTTTTAAAATAATTTATATAGTCTCTCTCTTATCTAAATTCTCAGGTGAAGAACCACTCTTCTGGAACAATTTTAAACTGAAATGGTAAATCTTACATATATAAATATTGGCACCTAACAGAGTTGAAACAAACAAATAATAAAAGAACATTTTAAACAATTCTTGGCAATGCTATTCACACCCCTGACAATAAAAAAATTTGTTGGCTTGATGAAGCTTTAAATAAAGTCTTTAACTTCTTTTTTTTTTTTTTAAAGATTTTATTTATTTATTTGAGAGAGAGAGAATGAGAGATAGAGAGCACATGAGAGGGGGGAGGGTCAGAGGGAGAAGTAGACTCCCCGCTGAGCAGGGAGCCCGATGCGGGACTCGATCCCAGGACTCCAGGACCATGACCTGAGCCGAAGGCAGTCGCTTAACCAACTGAGCCACCCAGGCGCCCCAAGTCTTTAACTTCTTTATAAAAATTCCAATAAATACACATACATTTATGGATGCTTTTCCACCCTCTATCTGGTAAAGGGAGTACACAACTTAATCGATCCATAAACAGACAACTTATACTAAATATTTATTGAACACTCATTAGAAGTAATTTACTGTAATGATTTCCCTCATTCCCATGTCCATCAGGCATCAAGCTGGTCATCTTGCCTAAGCAAACCCAGCTGTAAGCGGTACATATGTGTAAAACAGCCATCTACATACAGTGAGTAGATGCAAACTGTAATTAAAACTTAAGGCATTTGCCAGTAGGGTTCTAGAACTATCCTGCAATTTGTTCTACATGAAATCATCCAGAAAGGACACAATCTATTCTGGATATGTTACAAGAAGAAAGTTGAATTTACCTTGAGCATAAATTTAAGAATATTTTCACAAATTTTTAAACTGTCAGTATTCAAAATTTAAAGAATTTTGCTTTGTTTTGTTTTGTTTTGTTTTGTTTTACAGGAAAGAACAGGATACTATGCTGTGAAATCATTCACAGATTTCTATCAAGGCCCACAGTTGAGAAAAAGACATTTGAACAGGAAACACTGCTCCCAATTTTGGATGTCAAAGTGCACGAGAAAGCCAGGTATAAGAAGAACACCCAGCTAGACATCGCTAGCTGGTTCTGCTGCCACAGGAAAGTGCCTTTGCATGAATGACTGGCTTCAGGCTCGTCCTGCGACGGGGGAGGGGCAGGCAAGGGGAGGAACATGGTGTCTTCCAAGCAGTTTCCACATCCCTGTGTCCCACAAAACCAAGATGCAACAGTTTGGACTTTGCTCCACTGTCACAGGGGAATCTCTCTGTCCTTGTGTAAACAGTATTTTTGCACAGCCATTCATCACAGAATTATGCTTCCGAAACCTGTCATTTATTTTTATTTTTATTTTTATTTTTTTTAAGATTTTACTTATTTATTTGACAGAGAGAGACACGGCGAGAGAGGGAACACAAGCAGGGAGAGTGGGAGAGGGAGAAGCAGGCCTCCCGCCGAGCAGGGAGCCCGATGTGGGACTCGATCCCAGGACCCTGGGTCCATGACTTGAGCCGAAGGCAGACGCTTAACCATCTGAGCCACCGAGGCGCCCCCCGAAACCTGTCATTTTTGAAAAAAAAAAAAGATTTTTTTTTCTTTACCTCCTAAGTCTCCTCTAGAATTGTGGTTTGTGTAAAACCCCCATCTAAAGGCACAAAATTACCACACTGAATTTGTAGAACGTTCATTTTGCTTGGCATTAGGTACTAGCAGAATAGTGTCTATCTCTGGGGTTTTAATCATACGCTGTCAGGATCCCATAAATTCAATTGCTAATAACTGCAAGGGATACAAGCAAGAACACGGTGTTCCAACTGATCCCAGTATTTAAGACAGGATAATTATAGTTAAATACGATATGCTTTTAAGGCTTCCAAATGCGTCACAATGCAAAGAGATAGTGAAGGCTCTATCAAACAAGCACCTACAACCAATAAGTAGTGTGAACTGGGGAGAATCTTGGATGCTTTTTAAAATTAGCACATTATTAAAATGAAGAGAACAGTGGGGGATGGTGAGTCCAGAGGGCAAGTCTTACCTAGATTTAGTTGAAATGTCAGTCTCAAAGAGTGAGTTTGCAAGCCCACAGATACATAGAACAGACTGGTGGTTGCCAGCGGCAGGGGTGGAGGTGAGGGCGAAATGGGTGAAGGAAGTCAAAGGGTACAAACTTCTAGTTATAAAATGACGAAGTCATGGGGATGTAAAATGTACATGATGGCAACCATAGATAATAATACTGTGTTGCATATTTGAAAGTTGCTAAGAGAGTAAGTTTTAAAACTGCTCATTACAAGGAAAAAGAATTTTGTAACTACGTACGCTAATGTATGTTAACTAGACTTATTGTGATGAACATTTTGCAATAAACACAAATATCCAATCATTGGGATGCCTGGGTGGCTCAATGGGTTGGTTAAGCATCTGTTTTCCGCTCAGGTCAAGATCTCAGGGTCCTGAGATCGAGCCCAGCCCCCCACCCCCCCCACACCACAAAAGGCAAATATTCAAGGGCATTCAGATCTTGGGTTTAAGCAAATGAAAGGCCATAATTAATTCTTTGGGATAGGAAGACTGAAAAAAGGAAAGCATTGGGGGATGGGAGACAGAAGCAAGACCTGTATCTTGGCCCTTCTGCTTCCTTTCCTGCAACAACTGAGCCCTGAACCATGAAGTGGGACGCATTTGCAAGGGGGGTGGGAACGGCATCCATACAGGGGGCCGGACTGGCATGGCGTGTCAGAGCCAGGCAGAACAAGGTGGGCATCCATGGGGGGCAGGGGGTCCACAAGAAGAGGGTGAAGAGAAGGGCATCCACAACCACGACTTCAGCAGGCCGGGGGAGGGGGGGCAGTGGAATGACATGAGCTATCAGAGAGAGAACAGACTGAGGACGGTGTCCGTGTGGAAGGTGTGGTCATGAAGACGGATTGGTTACATGCTGAGGAACTGATGAAATAAGTAAATACATTAATCCTGGAAGCCAGGTTTCTTATTGTCATAGGAGAGAGTTACAAGAAAGGGAAAAAACTAGAATGAACCCAAGATGCTGGACTGGACTTGCAGGTACCCCGTGTACGCATGACTCCTAAAATAGGTAGGTCAAAATTAATAGATGTGTTAACCTGTATTTATACACAGATGCACATTATCCCTGGCTCTGCTGATACATACTGGTTCTTATTTTTTTTTTTTTTTTGACCCTGAGAAAGATGATGATGGAGAGCTTAGAAAAGAAGCCATGTAAGTGGCCGGGAGAGCGACCAGTTCTGGACGGAGCAGGAGGGCAGAGGACTCCATGGAGAACAAATCCAAGAAAGCAAGTGGAACCGCGAAATTGTCTCATTTGTCTGAACATATGAGAAGGAGGTAAAGACTTCTGTCAGAAAGTCTGGATACGAAAAAGAAGTAGGTCCACAGAGAACCAAGAAAAGAAGAATTAACACCTCTAAAAAAACATTATTCAAGACAGGAAATAGAATGAAGGTACATTCCACAGCATCTGCTGCTTATACTACATAGACTCAGTAACCTAAATAATAACTTTGAAAAAATTATGATGTATCTATACTGGGAGGTCTCTATCAGACACAGACAGGTATATGCGTGGCTGGTGGGAATTTTAAGAGAGCTAAATCCTTATCTTCCATTAGAAGCAGTTAATAAATGAAAATGGAAATATCAAGTAAAGAAGCACGATTCTTTAGAAATGAAAAAGCATACACCACAACAAAGGGCTGAAAGAGTTCAAAGGAGAATCAGGAACCAAGAGGAGGTGGGAAGAGACGGCTGTTTATCATTATAAACTTGACAGAAATGACTTGGCCTTTAAAATTATATGCATTTATGACAATGATAAGTTTGAAAATTAAGACAAAAAATACAGCTAATAAGTCCTGGTAAGCCAGGACTAGAAAAGGCAAAATTATAGAGAAAGAAAACAGATCAAAGCTGAGGTTGCTGTGAGGTTGGTACAGGGGACGTGGGAGAATCTGGGGGTGCTGATAAAATTGTTCTCTATCTTGTAGTGGCATTTCAGATTGCATGGATTGTTCAAAACCTGTATGCTAAATAGGGTGAATTCAACTCAATGTAAATAATATTTTTTTTTTCTAGATGAGATACTACTCTATAACCACTTGAATGGCTAAAGTTAAAAAGATGGTCTCTATGAAGAGTTGGTACAAATAGGGGCAATTAGAATTCTCTCACATTGTTTGTAGCTACACATAAGATTAAACATACATGCACTATATGTTAATTAACAAAATTTAAATTAAAGAAAAAACCACCAAAAATACATATATACATATGACCTGACCTAGCAATATCCCCACTTCTAAGTATGCACCCAAGATCAGTAAAAACCAGGCACCTGGGTGGCTCAGTCTGTTAAGCATCTGCCTTTGGTTCAGGTCATGATCCCAGGGTCCTGGGACGGAGTCCCATATCAGGCTCCCTGCTCAGCAGGGAGTCTGCTTTTCCCTCTCCCTCTGCCCCTCCCCCTGCTCATGCACACTCTCTCTCTCAAATAAAAAAATTAAATAAAAAAAAGATGAGTAAAA